TATGCCTAGACATATACTAATAGGGTAATCCTATGTCCTACCTGTCTATCTACTATATAAGGCACTTGTCCTATGACAATAGTGTTTCTTATAGAGGTAAAGTAGCCTTAATAATACTTAACTTAGTTAGTAGTCTACTAGGTTATAGTAGGCTAAGTAAACTCCTATAATAGTAAGCCTTGTTAATTACTAGTTATTAGTAATAATTAACTATTAATTAATGTTAGTTTTTACTAGTTAATTAATAAGGATCCTATATCTTATAATATTATAAAGGTTAAAAAAAGGTAGTTAAATTATTATTTATTAATAGTTAACTAGTTAATAAGGTAAAGTAGGCGTATAAGTGTAGCAGCACCCTTGTGTATAGGCAAGGGTAAGGGATTCTGCCGGTAGGCGGTGTGTCATGTGACCTACTGCCTCCGGCTACATCACCTATATGCCAACAGTATTATTGGTAGCCCTATAAATCACTGGACTGACGCCACATTCTATGCTGTTTTGTAGACATTTCTAAGCATCTCCTAGATTCTGCACTTGCATTAGTCATTCATCTATGGCAAAAAGCTACGGCTTCCTGATAAGTTCAGAACATTTCATATGGTCTTCCCAAGGCACTAAAGGTCCTCAAGGGAACAAGACCTTTCAATATGTGACGCAAAAACCTTATGGCAGGGTAGAACACCGCCAGTGTTACGGATGAAGCCATTCTGAGCTACTGTCAGCATCAAAACATAGAGTCAAACGATTCAATAAATAATGTACTTCTAGCCCTCGAGCAACTCAGAAAGTCAATAACTGTATCGGGGAACTATTATGGTCCGTTCTTGATATCTGTTTTTCAAAGTAAGTGATATATTGTAAGATTCTGCCGGTGCTTCAGCGCGGAGTTATTGCAGGTGCGCCGGAGTCTTCATTTTGACCGGAGGCTAGAGAAAGGAGGCTACTGGAGAGAAAGTTTTGAAATTGCTACCCAGATGAAGCTATTGCGATTGCTTCGAGCCATAAAGCCCTTTTATATAGATATCCAGCCAATGCAGTAATTCACGGAGCTCTAGTTAATCTTAACCCTTACCCCTCTTGTGCTCACCGGCACTGGCACAGCCAAGTCATGATCATACTCGATTTCTCGCTTAGTCGTGTCATACAACTGCATGCGCGGAACCACCCTGAGAATCAAGGCCGCCAGAGCCAGGTACAACTCGGCATAAGCCAGCCTACCCAGCGTTAGTGTATTTAAACAGTCCCTCAGAAGTTAGAAGAACAAAGAAACTTACGACATTCCAAGGCACATCCGAGTACCCTTGCTAAAGGATAAAAACGCCTTGTCCATCTGTCTCCTTTGGTCACGATCCTGGACCATCCACCTCTCGGGGACAAACTCGTTCGCATCCGGAAAGTATGTCTCGTTGAAGTGGTTTACCATCGCACTCATACCCATCGCATAACCTCGGGGGATCAAGTAGTTCACTTCCACCTCGGTCCTAGACCCCTTTGGCGTCCACTTGCCGCAGTAGACCAGATCCTCCTCGGTGGCGACCCTGGCTGTCCTAGACGCAACGCCCGGAGCCAGGCGCAGCCCTTCGGAGATGACGGCGGTGAAATACGGCAGCGCCTCCAGCGTCGGCCAGCTGGGCAGATGCTCTGGGTCCGTGACGACGGTGCGAAGCTCCTGAGTCAGCTTCTCCAGGACGTGGGGTTTGGTCAGGAGGTAGAAGGTGATAACGGTAAGCGTGAAGCTGGTTGTCTCGGTGCCAGCTATCATGGTGACAAGACCCTCGGCAGTCAGGCGCTTGGTAGTCTTCTCCTCGGGAGGGAGGTCTGACTCGAAAAGCTCGGCGAAGACGTTGGTAGTTTTGCCATCACCAGAACCCAAACGCTTTCGTTCCCTAGCCTGTTCTACATGTCTTGGTATAACGGTCTGAGCTTTCTTGATTAGCTGGTGGGCCCCTATGTTCTTTTCTCTTGGTCTAGGGCATATCTAGCTCCAGACTAGGCACTAGTTCTTACGTCTACTGTATCAATAAGTAACGCCGTGTCCCTAGGGAGATAATCTTTAAACCTGTTAGATCTATCGTTAGTAATAAACCATTGTCTAGCAGGGAGTGGTTGACTGACATGGGTCCCACAAGTAGAATTGCTTTGAGCCACGGGAAGAACCTAAATACAAATATATGGTTTAACTGCCCGTATACCGCCTCGCGGAAGTTGGGTATCCAAGTCTCCCTATCAAGAAACCCGAACGCTTCACCGAAGCAGTATTCCGACACAACGTCGGAAGTGAAGCAGCTAAACGCATCCGTCAGGGGGACGACTCTGTCAGGGTCGCTAGCATCGGCAAGAAGCTTGTCGCAGAGTCGCTGGGCCAAGACATGGACCTTGGGCTCCAGCTTGAACATCTGAGCCCGCGAAAAGAACTTGCTCATGGCGCCGCGGCGCCTGCGGTGGAGGTCATGGTCGATGGTACCTGCGTGGGCCACATTTTGGCTGTGTAGGCTATCAGTCTATACTTTTCATGCATGGAAAGGGCCTAGAATGGGTAGATGTACGCCTCTGGTAAGTTCTTTTGTTGATGTAGGTGTTTGTTCCGTTTCCGCCCGTTGATGGCGTAGATTTCATCAGTGAAGTTAACGTCGTTGCAGTGTATCTCATCAGGGTTGATCCGAACGATCGGTCCTTGGCCAGAATCAGCACTGCGCTATTCCTGTTTAGCATGGAGGAATCGCAAACCGTAGACCTCGTGCAGCCGTCGAATCTCAAGAGTGTAGCGGCCCTTCTTCACGAAGTCGAACCAAAACTCGTACAGATAAGATGCGCCAGCCAGCTTCGGGCCGGGAATCTTGCTGAGGGGATGGAGAGGGGATACATTGTAGAGTGCACGCACAAAGTGGTGTATAATCCAGACGACAAGGAGGGCACCGGCAATTCGCCAGGACAAAACGCTCACGGGAGCAACGACTTCGCTCAACGGAACCATACTGAGGAAAGCTAAAACAATTCGGGAAGTGAGCAGGACGCGGATTTTGGCAGTAGGGGGCTTCTGACATAATATCTCTCAAATGCTAATTCCAAACCCCGCTCCACGACATTCGCTCTAGTTTAATCCGAGCGGGACGTGGGCAAGACCGAGCGTGACATGGGCAAGACTCGATACCTGCGGCCCGCAACGGGAGGCATGGGTATCCATTGCCGGGCTCCAGACCCGCGTGGATCCATTGGAGGGGGGACACGCATCCGGGGAGCCTAACCGTCAATGACGAGGTCTGCATTGGACAATGTAATTTGTGCTGAGGTGGGAGGAGTCTGAAAAGGTAGAAACGCCCGCTGGAGAGCGGTCAGCGGCATGTGCACGTGGCTCAATTGGGTAGCCTTTTCAACGAATAGGGAATAGCAAATGAGGAGAGATAAGAGAGGTGGAATCGGTGACCTGTCAGACTGACCCAGCGTACATGTAGCCTTGTCGCACCTGGTTGGAATGATAGAGTGAAGAAGGCGAAACCAAGTGGAAAGGTACTGTTGTAACACAATAATAATGAGGCTGTATATATGGCTGGAAAGGGGCTGGGTGCATGGAAACCAACCTTTTTTCTAAAGGCACCGCCCTTATCATTGGATGAGGAGAGGAGGTGGACTGTTCTAGCTCTCATGACTCGTATTGAAAAGAAATGTAGAAACCAATGTCGTCACAAAGTGATGTACGTTATATACAGCGTTAGTTGCTACCTGATATTAATAGCTTCGTCTGCAGTCAATAGTATAAGTGTGGTCCCTATAACTTACCTATAGTTATGAGCTTAGTGGATCAACGTACAGAGCTGTCTTGCATTTATGGTGTGAGTGTGTGTAGTCAATATAACGCTAAGCATCGTACACCCCACAGGTTTGATTCCCACAAAGGCCCGCAGGTAGATCACTAAAGTATTACTCCGTACCTGATGCTGGATAAGTCGGAGCACAGCCGCCTAGCATTTGGCAAGATACAACCAAAAGGAAGGTTCTTTTTGCGACAGATGTTACTGTCTTCACTGCCGAGCTCCACCTGACTTGTCAACGTGATGAAACCTAGCAAGATGATCATGTTCCAAAAGATATCTGATCAAACCATCTTCAGTACACTCCGTTCTCACTTGAACTCGCTTATAGCTTTCTAATCAAGCTTTCCTGCAGACCCAGTGTTTCTCATCCGTCCAATTGATGAACCCGGGAATAACGGTAACTTATCTTACCCCACTTGTCCGGTCGTAAGCAGACCAGAAATGAGCGGATGAACGGAAACTACCTGCAGGACAGTGTGATAACACGATTCCGTCGGCTTCTTTCCCTAACACACAGTTCGTAGTTTGTGCGTGGCCTAGTTTGTCGTCGTAGTTGAGCATTGTCGACCCAAACTCACCTTCGACGTTTAAGTCGGTGTAGTACGGCAGCAGCGTTTGGAAGCTAGATACGTTCCTCACATGTATCGCCAACCACATGGGGTATATGTTGCGGCCCCAATAGCGATGTGGGGGGAAGGGGGGTCTGGTAGGGCTAACGTTACCTGTAACTTGTTAGGTTGTAACACTGTCCTAGAATAAGAGCAAGTAAATTAAAGCAGATAACGACAACCTGAGTCTCACTAGTAAACTGCTTCCTCTAGTCGTTACGGTCAAGAATGAACCTCCATGAGAAAAGCCTTTTCCCTACACATCCTTCCCCAGCGACTCCTGACTCCCATTGTTCCCCTCAAGCAGTGGGCTCCATTGGGCGTTCCTCTTGAGCCAGTGGCTCGAAAACCGCACCCAGGTTTGTATGGGGTCTCTGTGGTTTGGGCATCTGACTCATGGAACGTTTGATACTGCCTTTCAAGTCCAGAATGTTTCTCTCCTTCTTGCCAGAGATAGTTCCTTCGGTCTCCTTCAGATTAAGTGAGCTCTTCTTCCTCTCTCCTAGAGGAGTTTTGGGTTCCTTCTGGCTGGGAACACTCTTCTTTGTCTCATCTGAAGGAGCTCTGTCCTACTCGCCGAGATGCAAATTTCTGATGTCACGCACCATATCCATGAGAAAGTCTTTAACGCGGTTCCTCAGGCTGCGTTTACTCCGGTTGAAGGAAGATAACTAGTCAGGGCCTCCATTGCCCCGGTTGGAACGCTCGATCTCACCATCTTTGCCGATCGGTGCCAAGGCCGCTGACTGCCATCTGTGCGCCTTCCGACAAGTCAACTTCGCTGTCAGTGGCGTGGATAATCCAGTCGTCGTCGTCGTCGTCATAGAGGGAGTACATAGAGGGGTCTGCACTCCCAGCCAGTCGCCACATCCTAAGAGATCCCACTATAGAAGTAGGATATCGTAATCAGGTAGGTGTTGAAGACTTTGGGACGTAAAGGTGAAGATGTGCCCGTCTTCTATCTGGCGGCAGGTTGTTGCGTTAAACGCCTTCACTAGGCCCGCACCCTCATCCTCTAAATTCTGTAGCCTTTCGACTGGGTCGTCTGAGAAGTCGGCTTTTGAAGGCATATTCTGGACGTTGGTATTCTTCAGCCAATGAAATCGAACTCGGATGACCCAACCGTGATTCGGTTTGGTTCCCTTTACCACCCGTTCCACGCTCTGCATTGTCGGGGTCGTGTTCTTGTTCGTCCGCGTAGAAGTTGCGTACGCGTTCGCAGGTGCGGCTGATCTTGGCAGCGTTGCCGCCGGTGAGCTGGTTCGATAGGATGAACATGCTGATGAGACTGGGGAGGAGAGATGGGACTGAAGAGGAGGAGTTCGCCTCGCCGGGGTGAAGTCTCTTCTGACGATGGGATGAGAAGAATGAGAGAGGAAGAGAGTGTATGGGTGACTGAGTGAGTGAGGGATCTGAGGAAGAAAACAAAAAGGGACAGTTGAGGAAGAAGAAAAGAGATTAATAGAAAGAAGTTGAATCCGCGGAAGTTGCTGTAGGCAAGTAAGGTTGGTTGGTTGGCACCTACCCGGACAAGAAAGCTGTTGGTTGAGTACGTACCTACCCTGCAGGTTGGTAGGGACAGCCACGTGGGGGGTGGAACAGCTTGGGCCTCTGGCGGGGGTGTTAGTCATCCGCACTAGGACAAACAGACGGTCAAAGTCAGAAGAGCAGCAAAAGCACCTTTTCCCCTGGTCATGTATGGATGGGAATAGGGAGGAGTTAGGAGCAGGAAGTCGCGATTGCGCGTTTTGACGACGTCGTGGGTTTATAGTACCTCTATCTAGTAACCTCCATGGATTGATGAGCAATAAGGGTAGTTACCTGGATATCTCCATGGTATTTCATTAGAAACCTTACATTGTGTTGAGTACCAAACATGGTACCTTTACGAGGTATTTTGCTACTGTGTATGATCACTATTGTGTACCTATGCGACCTCAAGAGGGGCCGCATTGTATCTGTACCTCTGTTGGCTCATTGTTCAAAGGAAGTTTGTTGTGGTAATATGTGTGGAGGTGACTTAACCTTCCGTCATGGCGGAACCATCCAAGGCAGAGATCGTGGTGGAACCGGATGACGCCCCCTTTTTGACGAGCGTCCGATTCAAGTGGCAAAAGCGACCATCAATTCGAACCACGACTCAACAAGACGAAGAAACAGTACAAATACCAAAGAGAACAACCCAGAATATAACGCAATCAGCATCAATCAAAGAAACAGCAGAGCAAGCAAGCAAGCGACAACAGAAGAAGCAATAGAAGCAGGAGTATCGGAAACATTAATAGCCAGAAAATGCTATAGAAGGCGTTGAGTTGCTAGGTGAATCCCGCAAGGAGTTATACTAGCTACAAGAAGCACTCTAGCAACAAATAGAGGTAGCACAAAGCCAGGAAGATATGATTCATAGCTTATATTTAAAGATAGATAAAACTGCAAAACAGATGGACAAGAAACTAGAGTAGTCTTGCAAAAAACTGAGGCAGTTGCGCCAAGAATGAAAGCTGGTCTGCAAGCAACTTAAGATAATAGTGTTAAACTGTGAAAGCGTTTGGTAGGTTTAAAATAGGCAATACCGCTAGGTAAATGTTAGCAGCATATTAGGGATAGAAAATCCCGACCTAAATAAGGGAAGGCTAATAGCATGTGTATTTTACCCAAGGCAACAGACATCTGAGAGGCAATAGTAGTAGAAATACACACTGCATTATTAATCAAACAAACAAGGATTACTGCCGTATATACGTACTTCAACAGGTATATCCGCCCTAGTTCCCTTTTTTCTCAAAGACTCAAGTTTACGGTTTCTTCCTAGAGAACTTGCATTTACTTAAGGAATTTAGATACTAATAGCATGTGTGTGACAACGTAAACGTCGAATCAAGCGTTTGCCTTGGTAGGCTAGATTGTATGTGATGTAGCTTATAAGAATCATAGAACTAGCACCGAAAACCACTCATCAGTATGGTCGGAAATAACTTTCCGATGTAGAGTACATTGCCGGGTGGTGAGTCCAAGAATCCATTTTACCAGCCATGGGGGCATGATGAGATGTGACAGCTAGCTGTTTACGAGTCTATTGGGTTTCCAAGACACCTGGCCAAGAACCCGCAATCTATTATCTCTCCGAACGCCGAGAGTAGGTCACCATGTCCATGACTGAGGTGATCAATACCCGGGTTCTCATACCCATCTTCCCACGTCGTAATAATACGCCATGGGGCCAGGGGCTGTCAAGGGCGTTGTGCTGACTGCATGTGTAGGCACACATTTTACATGCATCTCGGCCAATTGCCAGCGACGACGGTCCCAAAAGTCTCGGCTGTCGTTTCCGGTACGATTCAAAAGGGCGTAAACATCGCGAGCCGGCTCCTCGTCTCCGGGTGTCTCACCGTTGACGGTGGGCGGTAGACTATCCGGGACCAAAACATTTCCCGGCGGCGGGAGAAGCGCTAGCAAGGGCGAGGGGTTTGACTGTCTGTGCAAGGGACATACGAGGTGGCGCGTTTAGGTTTGTATGCTGGTAACACCGAGGGCATGGAACAGCTTGATGTCAGTGCGGCTGCGGCGCACGAATAGGTATTTGGTTGTGATGCCGCCCTTGGGAAAGCGTCGCGGTCACGGTGGGTTCGTTGACGACGGGCCGCTGCGCCATTGCTGAGCCCCGTATCGTCCGGTCCCCCCCCCCCCCCCCCCCCCCCGATGTGGCTGGTCGGTTGTTTGGTGCTTGTTGTCTCGGGTGAACGGCGACAGCTTTCGGGTTCCTGGAAAAGGGATGCATATGGGAGACGAGGCCGGTGAGACGTTTGGCGTGATGTGAAGAAGACGGCGCTTTTCCCCGACGATCATTCCTCTCCCTGTCATGTAAGGCGGAAAAAATGAGAGTGATGGTCCTGTGCCGTCTCCCGGTAATGCTACTTGAGCCTATTCACCACCCGGCGGGGGGCGCTGCCCGAAAGCACGTAATTGATGGTTTCCTGCTATCAGGGTTGGCAAGTCTGTGATCAGACGGAAGAGCGCAATCACCAGGTTCTAGGGGTGTCACTGGGGCAGTCCACACATGGAAAAGGAGGCGAGACAACAGGGGACCAGTGAGACAGTAATCCCGATCGTTAGGGATGGCGACGGGACAAGACGCGACGCGGACCGGACTGGTGTGCGCTAACTTGAATAGTACCATACATGGTACGGGAAGACGGTGGACATGACGTCACCTCGGCGGATTGATACGAGGACGCCAGTAGACTGTTGTTGGCTGCTCTCGCGATGAAAACAGAGCGAGGGCGGATGCACGGCAACGTGTGCATGGTGGCGTTTTTTTAAACTAAAGTGGCGCCCGGTGTTTGCTAGTGTAGATTTCCTCCTGACGGATCGCCCACGTCTAGACTCAGAAGGGTTTAGACGAGCTGATTGATGTTGTTCTTTGCCAGCTTGAAACCTCTGAGGGCGGGCCTGTAGTCCTTGGTGCATTTAGCTTGACAATAAGTTGAACTACCCAAGGAAATTGCATGATCAAATCGCCGTCTTGTCTCGCTGTCTCTCTGCTTGACACGAGGTGTCTCATCACTTGCAATGCGAATGCGGTGCTGATATCAGGCCAAGGCGAGCAGGTCCTGCAGGTTAGCTGGAGACGTGGTGGTATCTGAGGGGCAAACTCGATGCAGCTTTAAGACAGGCAACAGGTGGCCCCCGTGCCATGTAATGCTTCTTGGGGGCTGCTTGGCAAACCGTTGGTGATTGAGGCGAGTGGAACACTGCATCCGACATCCGAGACTACGCGCGCGAGAATCAAAACTGTTCTCCTAGGAACGAACGGTCGTTACCGCTTTCTTGAGGGCTTCTTTATAGGAATCTGCGACGAGAGGTTAGGATCATAGGGGAAGATGAAAAAAATGGAAGAACAAGAAGAAATCCCATAGTGAGGGAGAAGTCGAGATGAACGGCAACACATGGATGATGTACAGAGTATCCGTACAGGGTGTTTAGTTGGATGAAATGCCCCCATACGGACGTCTTACATAAGACAGCCTGCATCTTTCCGAAGCGGACCACATCCGCCGATGGCTGTGTGTATGCATTAGATTAGCTAAGGTAAGGTATGTTGAGCAATGGCGGAGGAAGGAACAGGACGAGGACGGCGACGCTGCGAAAGAAAGAACGACTTTTGGACAGGAAGGAACACTGACCGACAGCGAAGCGAAGGCAACAGCAACAGCAGCAACAGCAGCAGCAGCAGCACCGGCGGCAAGCAGGGGCGGCGGGCGGGCAGGCAGGAGCGAGTGGAACCGGCAGGACGGATGGGTCACTGGCCAATTGAATCGAGCCACTCGTGAGGCGCACACGTGCGGCAGTGTGGGGTATCTCATTTAACCGTATCTGCTGCTGCCTTTGCGTCTTTCTCCTTCAGGAAAGTCCAAAGGAAGACGCGCCGAGGCCCACCAGCCAGGGGGCACTACCAAGTACAATCAGACGAAAAGGAAAAGAGGGTGTGAGGGTACCTCTCTCTCTGCTGGAAGCCCCATTATCGTCCATCGCCAAAACTGTACGAATACTCCCTCTCACTCGAACTCGTCTCGACCGACTTCAGGTGGCGCTCTCCCTCCCGTCCCGCCATGGCGCCGCCGCCGCCGACGCCGTCGACGCCGCTTCTCGCGACATAGCTCAGCCGTTGCCGAGTCTTCCAGAAGCGCCTACCTATTCGTCGTCCCTGCATACATGGATCGCATCGGAGCTAGAATACGGATACAATAACGCAAATCCCATCCCTTCCCTTGGCCTGGCCGAGCATGGTCCACCCCAAAACACCGGACGGCGTGGCGTTGGCAGCCCGCAGACGTGCGCCGATCTCCAACAAAAGAAATCTTCATGTTACACTGCGCTACGCTGCCCTGCTCTGCACCAACAGCGAGCCGCAGCACCGAACACGGTCAACACCAAACAACTGGAGTCCTGGACTGCCTAGCCAACGCCAGCCGTAGCTGACAGCCGTTGCCGTTGCACTGCATCCCGCTCATCACTACCGAGGAGGCGTCTTCTCTCGTGTCATCACTCAAACGCTGCGAATTACGAATTGTGCGAGCCGGCCAGCACAGAATCAGTACGACTGTCAGCGGAACGGGGATTCGTCGCCTCTCCCGCATCAGTCCGAACCAGACGGAACTCTGGCATGGCATGACCAAGCCGGAAAACCCCAAAGGGCGACAAGAGAATTGGCACAGGGCCAAGACAATCATGAGATTGCTCCAGGCCAGCCTCGAACACGCTCCATCTCCTACGACTCCTCTGATATCCCCAATCCCCCGGTCTCACTTGCATCCTGGGCCTTTCCAGGCTTGCCAATCTCAGACCCGTCCTTCCCTCTCAATCCGTCGACCCGAACGCCCGGGGTCCGCTACACTACACCTACCGAGTACTAGTGTACTGTGTAGTGCAGGTGCTCGCATTCGTAGGCCTGCTCAATAGCCTTCAAGAACGGGCCGGGATGGGATGCATCATGCATGCAGGGGTGGACGCCGGACCTGCACGCCTGCTGATGGCACGCCAAATTGACCATGGATTGCCCTGCATTGGCCCCACGCTTCTCGAGCCGGTGGCCTGCGCTCCGCGCCCCAAAGATCCAAATCCAATGATAATATCAAGGAGCTGCCCGGCTGTCCTCCGCAGCTCATGGTGAATTGCTCTCCCCATTCCATCTCCGTCAGCCCGGGCTTCCTTCGTTTAGAGCCAGAACCACGGCTTCGCACGGCCTTCCGTCAGTAAAGACAATCCAGTCGCAATGGTTTTCAAGACGTGGTTGTTGACGGCCCTCGTTGGCCTCGCCAACGGCCTGGCTTCAACCGACACCATCACCTGGGGAGGCGACAATTCGCGAGCCGGGTACCAGACGTAAGTTCCGACATCCAATTTATTCCATTCCACTATCGTCCGTTCTCCGTATCTCCACTGGTGCCGATCGTCGCCTTGCCGCAATGGCATTGCTCCGCTCTCTCAGTGGGCGGGGGAACAACCGATGTTGCACATGTCGGAAGAACGGCAACTAACGCGATGCCACAACGTGAAGAAACCACAACATGGACCCCTCCGTCGTGGGGAGCTCCCAGTTCGGCCAGCTCTTCCGCACGCTTCTCCCGGGCCGCTACGGCAACGTTCCCGAGCAGATCTTCTCCCAGCCACTCGTTTACACTCCCGACGGCGACAGCACCCAATACGTCTACGTCGCGACAACACAGAATAATGTCTACAAGATCAATGCAAAGACGGGCGCCATTGTCGCATCCCGGAATCTTCACCTTCCCTTCCTTACTTCAGATCTCAGCGGCTGCTACGATATTCAACCTCACGTTGGAGTCACTTCTACCGGTGTCATTGATCCTTCCACCAACACGCTCTACCTCACGGCCAAGACGTATGTTGACCAGACCAAGCCGAACGTGGCCCAGGGTCGGCCCGCCGGGCGCTACTACATCCACGCACTGGATGTGAACGACCTCAGCGATCGCCTTAATTTCCCTGTCGACCTGGAGGGCACCGTCGCCAAGAACAACCCGATCCGGTCTTTCAACGGAGGCATTCACCACCAGCGACCCGCCCTGCTTCACGTTGGCAACTATGTGTACGCCGGCTTCGCTTCTCACTGTGTGCAGTGGAACTTCACTGGCTGGGTCATTGGTTGGGACAAGACGACGGGTAACATTGTCGAGCGCTTCGCTACCGAGGGCGACGGCGTTCCCGCTAACATCGCGGGCGGCGGTATCTGGATGTCGGGCGGCGGCCTAACGTCTGACGATGCCGGCTCCATGTTCTACGCCACCGGCAACGGCTTCGCCTCCCAGCTCAGCACAATCCCCGTCAACGGCCGTGAGCCCCCGACGGCTCTGGAAGAAGCTGCTGTCCACATGACCATTAACGGAGACGGCAGTTTGAGCTTGGTGGACTTTTTTATGCCATGGGAAAAGCAGGCGCTTGACGCCGCCGACAAAGACCTGGGAACCAGCCCTCTGCAGATTCTACCGAGCACATTTTCCTGCGGCAACATCCGTCGCATTGGCGTGGTGACCGGAAAGAGCGGCAAGACCTACTGGCTCAACCTGGACGATCTGGGTGGCTACCGCAACGGTGCCAACGGTCTGGATAATGTGATTCAAGTTTACCAGAATGAGAACTCCGTGTATGCTGGTGCAGGCGTCTACCCTGGCGAGGGTGGCTACATCTACATTAATGGTGAGGAGCTGATTCCACCAGCACCTGTCTCAGCAAGTGCTAACTTTCAAAAGTCATTCAGTACCCTACCCACGTCTTCAAGTTCTCGTGCGATGCTGGAGTCCCCTCCTTCACCAAGGTCGCCGACAGCCCGATGGACAATGCCTACATCCTCGGCGTCAGCCACGGCACGGTCACCACCCTTAATGGTCAGCCTGGTACCGGTCTTCTCTGGACCACCGATGTTCAGGGCTCGCAACTCAAGATCTTCGAGGCCGTCCCCAAGGACGGCTACCTGAATTTGATCAAGTCTTTCAGCGTCCCGGCCACCACAAAGTTCACCAGAGCCGTCTTCGGCGATGGCATCATGTACCAAGGTACCACCCAGGGATACCTCTACGCCTTCGGTTCGCCCGTCACAACTCCTCTCAACTGTACGACCACCAACGAGTTTGCCACCGTTGACATTGGTTCGCAGAGTGACCCGCGCACCATCACCTGTACCGCCGTGATTGGCGTCACAGTTGATAACGTCGGCCTGGACGCAGTTGAAGAATTTGCTCTCTCTGGTGTACCCACACTGCCTCTTACGTTGGCTGCTGGTGAGAATTTCACTATCGGCGCCGCGTTCAAGCCGACCACTGTCGGCCTGGTTTCTTCTGACATCGTCGTAAACTCCACCAACGCCGTCGCGGGCTACAGCCAGGGCACCCACATCCGACTGACGGGTACCGGTGAAAGCGCTAACCCTTTGCTGTCCATCACGCCTTCTACAATCACTTTTCAAGGTGTTATTGCTGGACAACAAGGTGTTACGGACGAGAACGTAATCCTCTCGAACCAGGGCAACTCGGAATTGTCCATCACCGATGTTCAGTTCTCCACCACGAGCGCCCAGGGTCCTTTCACGAGCTGGGACAGAGCAACCGCCAGTCTCACTGTTGGCAAGTTCACTCTCACAAACGTCCCCGCCTCCATTCCAGCCAACACGACTGTCGCTGTTCGCATTACTTTCGACTCTTCTACCAGTGGCACCTTCGGGGCTTATCTCAAGTTGGCCTCAAACGGTGGAACCCAGTCCTTCACCATTGCGGGCTCTGCGGGTCCGGCTCCTGTGGCTCTCGTTGAGTTCCAAACGCCAGATGGTACTGGATGGGTTGAGTACGAGGCAAACAAGAACTTCACCTTCGGTAACGTCACCGAGAATAGCTCCAGAGCGCTCAGGTTCCGCATCACGAACAATGCCGGTGAGGGCGCTGTCAAGCTTTCCCTCACCGTATCGAAGCCACCCTTCGGTACCTCCGGCATCATTCAAGCAGCCAACTCGGTGGATCTTGCAGAGGGCACTGTCCTCGGCCCAGGCGAGAGCGCTAACGCCACCATAATCTGTACGGTTCCCAAGGCCCAGTGGAACACCGACCCGTACACCGGTGTCGCGGTTTGGACTATGAACACCAACGATCCCAACTTTGATAAGCATTTCTTCAACTTTGAGTGTACCGCTGTTGCCCAGCAAGCGCCGCCTCTTCTACCTGACGGCCAAGGCAGGCTCCGCTACATTGGCTGCTACAAGGAGAACAACCCTGGCCGTCAACTCTCGAATCAATTGTACGGAAATGCCACAAACACGAACGCCATGTGCATCGCTGCTTGCGCAGAGAAGGGTTTCGTTTTTTGCGGTACGCAGTACCACACTGAGTGCTGGGGCGGCATGACTATCCCCGTCGAAAAGGTTGACGCCCGCAACTGTGGCTTCGATTGTGGCGGAGATCTTAACCAGATTTGCGGAGGTAATGGATTCGGCGAGGCTGGAGGCACAGGCGCGTACATCTCGGTTTTTGCCGACTCAGTCCGTTCGGACGGCAATACCACGACGCCTCCCCCGAGCTCGGATCCGGTCAGCCCCGAGGTCAACCCTGGCGTTGGGCAATACGTTAGCCAGGGATGTTACACCGAGGGCACAAACGAACGCGCGCTGACCTACCTCACTGCCACTGAGAAGAAGACCGTCGGCCAGTGTATCGGGGTCTGCGCTGCAGACAGATACACGTACGCCGGATTAGAGTACGGCGGAGAGGTGAGAAAAATGCTAGGGTTCCATATTTTGACAACTAGAAGCTGACCTTGTCGTAGTGCTGGTGCGGAAACGCCCTCGCGGGCACATCTTTGCCTGCTAAAGCCGCTGACTGCAGCATGCCTTGCGTTGACAACAGCACCGAGTACTGTGGTGGCCCGGTCAGACTTAACCTATACAAACTGGAGGGCGACTTGCCCGCGACGACTTCTACCGGTGGTTTCCCTACCAGCGTCGAGACTTCGACTGCTCCCACTGCCACCTCTCCTCCCACGAACGTACGGGTTGGTGACTGGCTCTCGCAGGGCTGCTATACCGAGGGTGAGGGCGTTCGCGCTCTGCCCGCCCGCATGTATGCCAACAACTCCTTGACTCTTGAGATTTGCGGCGCTTTCTGCCAGGGCACCAAGTACTTTGGCACGGAATATGGCCGCGAGTGCTGGTGTGGCAACGAATTCGGGACAGGAAGCGTCCTCGCCGTGAATCAGAAAGACTGTTCCTTTCCTTGCGGCGGTGACAGTACGCAATTCTGCGGTGGCAGCGACAGGCTGAACGTCTACATGTACTCGCCCGAGGCGGCCAAGAACGCCTCTGAGACTTTGACAGCGACTGATACCACGGCAACTTTCTCGTCGTTAGCGGTCCCGTCTAACGGAACCGCAACCGCTACCACCGCTACAACCACCGGGACTCCTCTGACCGAGGATTCGGGATCACAAACCATGGTTACTGTGACTCCCACAGCAAACGTATCTTCAATTGCGTCTTTCATGCCATCCAAATCTACCATCACTAGCGGCTCTGTGAACATTAAGACTGTGGCATTCACTCTTTCCGCAGGCAACTCTACAATCTCTGCAACGGCCGAGGCCTCCAGTACCTCATCCGCTCTTTCGACTGCGAGCCTGTCGGCTGTTTCATCGGCAGTCGCCTCGACAACTACCACTTCTACTTCCTCGGCTACTCCCACGCCGACTGGCCCCATCATTTCGCCTGGTAACGACAACTTCACGTACTATGGCTGCTTCTCTGAGCCCGAGGTCAGCCGTCTCCTCCCGAACCAGATTCTCAATAGTGTCAACATGACTATCGACATGTGTCTTGGCGCCTGCTACGATAAGAACTATGCTGGTGTCGAATACGGCCGCGAATGTTGGTGCGGCAACTCCTTGAACATGGCCGGCGCCGACCAGAGCAAACCGGCAGCCAACGTGACGGGCACAGAGTGCTCCTTCACATGTTCTGGCAACGGCACCGAATTCTGTGGTGCTGGCTTAAAGATCAGCTTGTATATACTTACCGAAGAGCTGAAAAAGCTGGGAAAAGCAAACTCAACAACGTCGTTGAAGTACTAATGAAAAGCCCAAATGAGGAGGCGTCTGTTTTCACTTAAATATGGAGGACTAGGGCCATGGAGCTGCACGTATACAGATGCAACCCTTTCCTATACATGTATACATATATATAATTGTATTCCTATCCTGATCGCAACTGTTCTTACTACAAACTTCACGTGAAACCGACGACTGTCGTTGTCATTCTGCCCAACAAGACCGACGGAGCATTTGAAGGTTGTCTCTCTTTCATCCGCTAGGATACTTGTCTGATGCGTTGTCAGAGTCGTCTCTTTATTTGCTTATTCTGCTGCGTAATGCTTGACGAACACTTCCTGGTGTCTTGCTTGCTGACTACCCACTTAGCGTCACCCCGCATCGTCACCAGCGACGTGGTTCGCGAACGAGACGCGCGTATACAGCGTGTTCAAACACGAGGCCTGTATACCAACAAGATGAGCCTAAGCTGGGTACAGTAAACGCTGCACTATATAAGAATCTAACGAGGTTTCTTGGCCCATCCTTGCTGTCAATCTGCCAATAAACTCCAGGGACCTCAAACTTCGGGAAGAAACCCAATTGCAGCTTGTGATGACAAAAGCGGATCCATAATTACCACTGCGCAATTACGGCTTATATTATAACACACCCCCCTAGGTTTACAACGCTATTTGTTAGAAGGCTAGTAATATAGAACACTCTTGCTAATTACCTTCTAATTAGGTACATCTCGCCAAAGTATAGGTAGTGTTTTTCAACTGCCCCAAACAGTGCTTGAACCTGGGCCCCTCGGAATTGTGGGGGTCTCTGATATAGCACATGCGCATGCCATTAAGGCACACAGAGGTCCAGGGTAAAGCGGGCTCATAACTGTAATAACAAAAGTGGATCTATAATTGCCACTGCGCAATTACGGCTTATATCATAACACAGCTCTTGTTCAAAACAATCATGCCCTTTTTTGACAAGCTCGCCGACATTTTCACGCAGCAGAACGGTTCGTCCTCGACGCTTGAGGAGTTTCTTGTATCTCTTGGCACACCTTCCGTCTCTATCGCAGTGCTGGACAAGGGCAGCATCGAAGCGAGATGCTTCTCGACCGTCGGTGACAATGAGGAAACTCTCTTTCAGGCCGCCAGCATCTCCAAGCCCATCGCCGGCACCGCTATCATGAGGCTCGTCAGCCAGGGCAGACTTTGTCTGGATGACAGGCTCCTCCACGTCCTCCCCGACGAGCTCTTCAGGAACTTGGGGCCGCCCGAGATCCTGCGCCAGATCACCCTTCGCCACCTCCTGAGCCACACGGCCGGCTTCCGCACCTCGAGCTACACGGGCTATCCCGACAACATGCCGTCGGCGCTGGACACGCTCCTCGACAGGAACGGCGGCCGCAACCTCCCTGAGAAGCTCAGCGCGTTCCCCGGCCAGCAGTTCGCCTACTGCGGAGGCAACTTCGCCATGCTGCAGCTCATCCTGGAGAGGGTCTTTGACAAGCCATTCACGAAGATCGTCGAGGAACAGGTGTTTGAACCCCTGGACATGTCGGACACGAGCTACGCGACGCCGGCGCACGACGACGAGACAGGGAACTACGCGAGGTCCTGGTGGACGGGCAAGGAGCCCCACGCAGCGCCGTGGCACCACCACCCGGAGCTGGCGTCCGGCGGGGTGTGGACGACCCCGACCGACCTGCTCAAGCTCGTCCGCGCCGTGCAGGCGTCGCTCGACCCTGACGGGGACGGCGTCCCCGAGACGGAGACGGCGCGGTTCCTGCCCAAGGATCTGGCCAGGGAGATGCTGACCGAGGTAGAGGGTGGCATGGCATTATCGTGGATGGTGTCGCGGCGAAAGGGGCACGCGTTCGGGCACTGGGGCGGGAACAACCCTTCCTTCCGCTGCTGCGCCATCGGTTTCGCGGACGTGGCCGGCGGTGTCGAGGGGTGGGACCTCGAGGAAGGATGCGGCGTGGCCGTCATGACGAACGGGTGGGAGGGCCACCACGCGTGCGCCAAGGTCGTGCACGCCGTGGCGTATCTCAAGGGGTGGCCGTTCCTCGGCACGTTAGAGCACGCCCAGGAGCTCGCTGTGCCCCTCCGGGACTCCTCCCGGAAGGTGGACGGACGGTGGGAGGCGTGGATAGGGGCGTGGTCTGGAGGCTGGGTGGTGGAGAGGGGTGAGGATGGCGGGCCGAGAGCGAGGTTCCGGGCCATGGAGGCGGTGGCGCTGGTCCCGGCCGCGATTCCGGCGGAGCGCGGCGGGGAGGGGACCGAGATATCGATTGATTTCTTGGTCGGAGAAATGGCGGTCATGCTCCGGTTGAAGGGGGCGGAGGGGGCGCGGGGCGTTGAGGTGTGGAATGGGCTGACGTTCCGGGCGGAGACGTTGGAGAGGGTGTAAGGGCTTGGATGCCTCGGGAGAAGACTAGTTGGCGCGGTTTCGATGGAGGTGTAAATTGCATGTCGGGTATGGATCTCGCGTTGACCAGGAGCAGATAGATGTCGATTCTACCCGATGAGATGTCTGGCATATATCTACGGGAGCAACGCGATGTCTCCCTCGCTACCTGACGTGTATATCCGTATACGAAGATCCTTGGAGTCTTGAACTCACTTTTTAATATGAGAGAACGATGCCGTTTTCGGAAAACCTTGTAATCAATGGCAGCGCCACGATCAGAGGGAGCTGAAGCGCGCCTAGACAATCATAGACAGTAGACTCGGCTGCGAAGAGCCACCATGTAATGGACGCCCGGAATATTCTCATTGGGCTATTCAAGGGATGGCATTAGGCTCTGCTGGGCTGTTCACGTCCCGTGGACTGCTTGATTCCGTTGGCTGCTGACTTGCCAATGCAGAGCTGACCAACGAAACGATTTGTAGAACTCGGCATGAAAGCGAGTGCGAGAACGCTGCGCCATAAGCCTTCTCATGTGAATACAGGCTTGTATATAAATAAGGACGCCGTGTTCAAGCTGACACAATGATGATTATCTTGATTGTGATTCAGAGCCGTCGGCGAAACAATCCTCCTATTCTCTTTACATGGGCTTGATAGATGATCAGTGTCCGACATTGAGTTATCTTAAACGCTGGTTAGTTGACAAGAAACTCCATCTGATATGTTGGTGGAGTACTCTCTCAGAACGACATAGCTTCACGTAAGTTCTCTTCATGTGAGTAGTTATTCTTGACTTTACAATCCATCTGACCTCTCTGGCCCAACGTTAGAACTGGCGTCACGATGGCGTCGTCGGGCTTGGTCGAGAAGGCCAAAGACGTGTCATTCGAGGCAACTTCGTTTGTCGTGCAGAGTGTTCTAAAGGAGCGAGACAAGGTGTTTTCCAGACCGGGCGACGCGGTCCGTAAAAAGGACGGTCTCGTCGAGGAGGTTGTCAGGTCAGCAGCTTCTGGATTCGGAGTCATCTCGGAAGCTTTGCATCACCGGAAAGAGGAGAAGGCGAATCAGCTACGGCAAAACGACGGAATCAAGGGCCCACAACCATCCGATGTTCCACCTCAAAGTCGACCGGACGGGGTCACATCATGCCTTGGGGTCGGGGACCAGGAGTTCACGACACCGAAGGCAAGATCGAAACCACCAAAGGATTCAAAACACTCGGCTCGTCTTGCCGCGGCCTTTATCAGTCGACGCGCATGCCCGGATGGAGAGACTGTAGCCAATGACAAAACGGTTCCGTTACCCGTCGTGCTGGCCCAGCGGCGACCCGAGAAGAGGACTCGGGGGTTCATGCGGGCCTACGCGCCGGTTCTTGCCGAGGTGGGCGTCGACCAAGGAACTTTTCTCGATTTCATAGACGGGTTCAATAAGGCGCTGGAGCCCAACCCCTGGATCAACGCCCTCAACCTGGCAGGCTTCGCCGGGTCGGCAATGCCGGAGCCGGCATCGATGCTCTTTGGTTTCACGGTCGAGTACGCGACGGGCGCTGCCTTGGAGGGACGCAGTCGTTACAGCTCCAACACCTTCCTGGACCGCGTCAATGCCCAATACTTCCGCCCGCGCGGGCTCGTCTGTCTTGTCGTGACGTGGCAGCCGGGTATCGGCGACAGTCGGCTCGCCGTCAACTTTGAGCGAGGCGCGCCTGCAACCCGCTCAGAGACTGGCCTTTCCGAGAGAAGAGCTAATGTTATCACGCAGAAGTCTTCGGCGAGGACATGCTGGCAGGATATGAAGGAACAGATGGGCGAGAGGATGAAGATGACGAACGGCAATCTCGACTGGCCCGAGCCGGCGCCGCTCGTCTTCCCGGCTAATGGTGACGAGACCGAGGGCGGAAGCGGCATCGGGGCTAAGAAAAAGAAGGACGCCTTGGATCGGATGGAGGCCTGGATGGAGGATATTTCGGACAAGCGAGCCCAGGCCAAGTGGGTTGACGAAAACGGTGACAACCCGTCGGCAGGCCTGACCCCGAAGCATGAGTTCCGATCACGGTACGCCGACCCTAAGCACCCGGCTGCGAGTGGCGACATGGTGGCTCTAGTCACCGGGGGTCATTGGATGTACACGGATACGAAGAACGCCAAGGAGGGCGCCGGTGAGTCCAAACCAGAGACGGATACACGTGTCGGCAAGTCTGAAGGAGGAAACCATGAGAAGAAATCCGACGCAGCAAACATGAGGGCCTCCCTCTATGTTGCACTCAGTTATTGCTGGGGCAAATCAGATCATCTCTTGACCAACAAGAAGAACCTTCAAGACATGAAGATCGGAGTCCATGTTGTGGAGTTTCCACAGACCATCAGAGATGCGGTGGAAGCAACTAGGAGGCTCAATCTGAGATACTTCTGGGTGGATACTATCTGCATTTCACAGGATTCCGCGCGCGACTGGGAAGTCGAGTCGGCGAAAATGGCTTCCGTATACCACAATGCATACCTGACGGTTGCTGCAGGCACCTCGGCTTGCGCCTCTGAAGGCTTCCTTGACCAACAGCATCTCGCAGCTGCCCAGCGAACGCAGTTTAAAATGAAGTGGCGCACGGATAGAGGGAAAACCTCCATCCTCGCGGTCAGGGCCGTGCCAGCCAGACATACCCATTCCATCGATCTCACCGGTGACCGGCAGAGTTCACTACCTCTCAATGCTAGAGGCTGGAGTCTTCAAGAGGAGCTCCTTTCGGAAGGACGATTACGTATACGCGGAATGAGCTCTAGTGGATATGTCAAACTGAGAGAGACTGCGAATGCCACGCCTTTGAGGAGATTACCAGAGACGGCCCCAAGGCGATGATGTCCCCTGCCTTGATGACCAGTCACCTTGCCGCCTTTGAGCAATGGCAGGCTGTCGTCAGCGGGTTCAGCACACGGAAACTCTCTTACGAATTGAACAAGCTGCCTGCCCTGTCCGGCCTTGCCAGTTTGGTCCAGGAGAAGACTGGATCTTCCTACATTGCCGGATTGTGGAGAGACAACTTTGTGCGGGACCTGAACTGGTATTCTCTAGCAAGGACTTTGGACAAGCTGGAAGACGCAAAATGCTAAGGCCGCCGAGGCCTACTGTGCTCCCACCTTTTTTTCATAGGCGTCGGCCAATGGTCTCATTGACTTTTTCAAGGGATCTTTTGTGGTTTTGCAGCTAGATGTAGTCCCTACTACGGATTGGATTGCAAGATGGACTGACTCTAATCGATGTTGTGATAACAAAAGCGGATCCATAATTAATACTACTACACAATTACAACTTATAACACAATACACCCCCCCAGGTTTATGACACTATTTGTAAGAAGGCTAGTAATATAGAACACTCTTTGTTACCTTTTAATTAGGTATATCTTACTAAAGTATATGTAGTGTTTTGAACTACCCTAAACAGTACTTGAACCAAGGCCCTTAGGATTACAGGGGTCTCTAATATAGTATATACGTATGCTATTAAGGCATATAGAGGTCTAGGGTAGAGCAGGCTTATAACTGTGACAACAAAAGTGGATCTGTAATTGCCACTGCGCAATTACGGCAGATGTTAATACTGTTTCGGATGGGAGCAACCCCCTCGGCCGAGTAAAGTCCGGCTATGCTACTTTACGTGGGCACGTTAGTGAAGCTTCGCTTGAAGTTTCAAGTGCAAGTAGGACGGAGTCCTACGCGCTGAGGCATCACGGAGAGTGGGTGGAATTCCACGCGGATACGCAGTTGGAAGAAGTTTAACTCAGCGCGGCCGGATCGAAGGGGGTACCAGTGGTATCCGTGCGTCGATCGCGTTCTGGTTTGCCCGTTCTTCTGATTTATCTCGGGGACTGGGGTTTTTCTGATCAGGAGATTATACAAAAGACGTATCTCGTCTTGGGGAGGTCTTCTTTGGACAAGAGCAAGTACGAGAGGCTGGGCCTGGCGCATCATCAAAATCGTTTTGAATTGAACAAGGCTGCTCAGGGGTGCGAATGGTTGATTGAAACAATAACCTTGTTGTAATGGTTTGGATTTCGGGATTGAAGGTGAATTGAACTGAGTTTGCTGTAGTCTATTTCGTTTGTAGACAGTCTCAGCGAGGTTTTTGTCAAATAAGGAAGTTTGCACATGTTCCTTTCCATTTCTCCAAGTTGCCATCCGCTTTGAGACCCATGTAAGTAAGCGTGGCTCGGACAAATTGTTCCAACTAGTGGAAGAGTTTGAGCCATACATTTCTACCCGATTTCCGTTCTATCTTCTCGAAACGACATTGTATGCAGGACATTTCAATCGTAAACCAGAAGTCATATTGCCGAAAGCAGATCCGGGCAAGCAAGGCACATTAAAGTACTCTTGAATAAAACCACTGGTCATGCGGCTACTCATGAGAATTTGAATGACACCTTCCGGATTCTTGTAGATAGCCGGGGCGACAGGCCGAGCCTGCCTGCCGATCGCAACCAAAACCATTACACAGGGTTTTCCTCATAGAGTGACCTTGACCGAAACAAGGCATGATATCTCTGGATAGCTATTATTGGTGCAATCAATCTTGCTTTACCTACAGATAAGCGTCGAAAGCAAGTTTGACTCATATGACGTGCTAGGGTATCGTTGCAAGGGGGGCAGTGCTAACCTTCGGCTTATTAATGTGCCCCCGGGTTCGGACGATGGTCATTCAAGCTAATGTCTGCGTGGCCCTAGAATGAACTTGTCAAGGAAGATCGGCGTTTTGGGATGAAATTACAAAGGCAGGCTGGTTGGCAAGCGGCAGCACCCACAGGCGCACGTGGTGGAAGCATGGCAATCTAAGTTCAGCAGCACTTGATTGACATATCCTGGGGTCCCCTGCATTCGGGTGCATGCTGTGGGGGGGGGTTCATTTATTCGAGGGTTCTTCGGGCTATCGGCCGGGAATGTGATGCCGAACTAACTACGGTCAGTTGGCCGCCGCCATCAACATGAAGCTTGCGGGCTGCCGTGCGTCCGGACTACGAAGAGGTATTTCAAGATGCGGCCCCCAAAGCTCTTCTGCACCCGTCCCACCATTACCCCTCCATCCAGAACCGGATGACCACTATCTCACCAAGATGCTTCGGTTCAGTCAAACAATCCTCCTCTTTGGCAGCGCGTTGCTCGTGGCCGACGTGCTTCCCGTCGGGGCCGTCAGGACCATCATTCCCAAGGCCAGCTTCGACCACCAGGCCAACTTCGACAAAGACTGGAACTACCTCTACCCCTGGGGCTCAGACCACAACGGCGGCGCGCGCATGACCAAGGACAACGTCAAGGTTGTTAATGGCACCCTCACCCTCACGGCCACCAAGGTCAGCGGTCAGCCGCCTGCGACGCACGGCGGCCAGCAGATCGCCATCAACTACCTCAGCGGCGCGATACACGCCAAGGAACACTTCAATGTCTCCCGCGGCGGCGGCTACGACTTCACGGCCGAGGTGAGGGCGACGACGACCAAGGGCACGTGGCCGGCCTTCTGGCTCACCGCGGTGCAGGGGTGGCCGCCCGAGATCGACATGGCCGAGTGGAAGGGCAGCGGCAAGATCAGCTTCAACACGTTCAACACCAGCTCCGTCGTCGCGACCGAGAACGTCGAGTACCCGAACCCCGGCAAGTTCCACAAAATCAAATGCGAGACGAGAGACCTCAACGGCAAGGACGTCCAGGCCAAGTTCTACATGGACAACCAGCTCGTCACGACCCAGGTCGGCGCCGGGTACTTTGGGAAGCCAATGTACTTGTGAGTAGACCTTTTCGGCGTTAGTGGTCGGGGAGCTTGACGTGCTAACAGAGCTAGGATCATCAACCTGCAAATGGAGGGTTCGTCGGGCTCACCTGGCCCCAGTGGAAGTAGGTTTTGCAAACAATAATTGCCCTGGTAGATTAAGCCTAACCCCTGATTTCTTAGATACAACCTTTCAAGTACGGAAACTTAAGGTAGTGAGCTACAACCCATGAAGAAATGGGCTCGTGAGATGACGGGAGAATGTTTTTACCCTTGGTATTCAAGTTTTCATGTATTGTATTTTCCAGGGACCCAGCCCCTATTACATACATATTTCTACTTCATTATGGAGTCATTCATCAACCCAAAATGGACTGCGAAGCATTTGAAGATGTCAAAGAAGGCGGAAACATGGAGCGACATAACCTGCATGGTCCAGTAAAGTTGACTCTGAAAACGGGTCTGTCACTATGAAGAATCTAACGTCGTGCGTGTACTTGATTGCTCTCGTTGTACAAGAGGCATGACCGAAGGCCATTTCCTATAGTACCAGACATAAAGATGGAGCTGGTGCCGCCGAGTTTTACCTTTAATTACTTGCCTTGCTTATCCCCATTTGAGCTGATAACGTCACGCTACCGCTGGGGGTTTAACACCAAACACGTATACTACAATTAGACATCTGACTGTCAGTTTAAGCATCTACAAGGCTAAATTAGTTCGATAGAGAGGAATATGGGAAGGATAAAACAGACATGCTTGAAGACAGTTGAGTGGTTGAGGTAGGTCTGTTGGTAGTGATAGTAAGGTTGTCGTCACGGGAGGAACGCGGCAACACCCGCCGCGCTTCTCCCCCGCGGGACGACATGGTCTCCACCAAGATTCGGCGTTCTGTAACTCGCTTCTTCGGGTAGATTAAATGGAGAATATACGAGAGGTAGATCTGTAGAGTGGAAGATGAACGTATTGTTGCGATATCGTAGAAGGCAGCTACATTGACCTGCGTGTCTGCCGCACTACGGCAGGAGATGGAAGGAATACTGATTGCTGACGTAATACACGAAAGAAACACGTGACTTCGCGTCCATGCCGCGTGTTTGGTGGGATTTCACGGTCGCATTCACCCGGTGCGTGCACCTTTTTTCTCCTGCCACTCTAATTCCTTCACATTTTTGTCGCGTCCATCACCCAGCTGTTCACGTTTCCCAAGCGAATGCGACAATGAAAACACAAGATGCCGACCTGCAAGACCCTTCAAGCGGTGGAAAGGCAAGCCCTCGAAGACAGGAACGACTCCCAAGATAGCCAGGCTATTTTCGATCGCTATGTGGCTGAATACGGGATCGGCGTGGTGCGTATGGCCCCTTGGGCATATTTGCTTTTTCCTGGTGGCGTTTGGCGCGAGTCTCCGCCCTTTGGGAGGCGCATTTCCCACTCTGCTGGCTGGCATTGGATTGGATTGGACTCCTTTCAAAAGATTGGGGATTTTACTTTCTTTTTGCAATGTGACAACACAGGCCTCACTGCGACCATGCGCTAACTATTTCGGGCGTCACTACATACAGACAAGCAGCTCACCTCCGCGTCCATCGTGGACCACCTCGCGACACATATCGAGAGCTAGCAAAGGCCGCCGCGGTTCTCCTTCGACGCGTCATTCTGATCCTTCAAGCTATACTGAGAGCCAGCCCGTTGTCGCTGTCTCTGTTCCCAGCACAGCACCCCCGGCTGCCTGTCCCGGATACGCGGTTTGTAACGCCCCACTGCACGAGCAAGGGTGTCTCAACTTAGTCCGGGATGGCACTGACCAGATCCAGCTACCCCGGCATCACGAAATCCCGTCGTCGGCCGTTGCCCCCGTTGCTACCGCAGACTCAAGCTGCGGCCCAGATCTGCTGGGGCCTAAATCAATACCCACCTGCCCGCCCTATCCCAAACCTACAAACGCCGACACCTCGAACCCTCCCGAGTCGCTTTCTGCGCCTTCCGTCAATGGCGACGCGGTAGAGACACCGCCCGACGCGCTCCCCGCACCATGCCACCCCCATAGACCGCCAGACAAAGCCAAAGCCCTGTCTCGAGCTTCGGGCCGACGGCCCTTCACGAAATACAAGATGGATGTATCGCAGCAATCGCCGACTCAGGATAACGACGATCGGGATTACGAGAACTACTACGAAGGCCCTTCCTTTGTGGCGACGAGTCCAGCCTCCCAAGACGTCGCCGCCGAGAACCGCACATGCGATGATGACTCTGCCGTTGTCGAGTTTGGCAGCCTCAGTCATCTGATACATACCGATACCCAGGCTGATGAAGAGCCATCCTCGATTCCCGACGATGCGGCCCCCAAACACGTTCGAGGAGAGTGGCGAAATCGCACCTCAAGCTCCCAACAACACTCTTCCGTCCAGCGCCCCGATGGCCAGTCGCCCATACTGCCCGCAAACCCTCATCCTCAAACCCCAGGTAATCGCCACAATCCCTTTGCTGGGAAAAAGATGGGAGACCCTGCGCTGGTGGGATCCCAACTCTTCGGCCAGACGCAGTTTTCGTCAGCTGTCAAACACTTCAGTCCCACCTCCTCGCGGCCCTCTCCGATCGTCTACGCCCACAATTCCATCTCGCCCAACATCGAGACCTCGCCGCTTAAGAACCGGCACACCGTAACGTCACCTCCCACCCTGCTTTCCTCGAGCCCTCAAGGTGTCAGAGTAGATCACCAAGCGCCCCACGACCGAGAACGAAGCCCTAGCAATTCTGGTCCTCCCGAAGATGGCACTGTGCCGGAGTCGCCGCAGTTGGTCCCCATTCACCCTAAGGCGGGGCTTGAGCCCATCGAGAAATACGAGAGCATGCTGGACTCCCAGAAGAGGAAGCTGCAGAATACTGCCATCGAAGGCGGTGCATCTGTGGAGGATTCAGACGAGGAAGCGCGAAAGAGAGAGCGCCGCAGACGCGTAGAGTCCAAGAAGAAGGAAGCCGACAAAGAGCTCACTAGCATCCCCATTCCCATTGGACGCTCAAAATCCCGAGATCTCATCGGGATCCCATCGAACACCAAAAAGCCTGGGAAACACCTAACGAGGGTGAATCGGTACCAAGCACGGCGTATCCCAGACGACTCAACAGCATCAGAGAACGAAGCCGACGAGTTCACTGTAGCCGACTCTCAAGACCAAGACCAGGCCGCAGCGCAGCCGGCGGAAAATCGAGACTCTCCTGATCTCGCCGATAAACCTGTGAGAGCAAAGCCAGGCTTTGTCTCCAGTAACGATGCAGTCCCTGATAGCGCTGCCGCTACCCAGAAGTCTGTCTCTAATGGTGTCATACCGGGTACTGAAAGCTCTGGCAACAGCTCTCGACCGAAAGATCTCATACCGGAGACGAGCCCCAACAATACACAATTACGACCCACGCCGAAGAGACGCAGCTCATCATATGAGCCGGTGTCTTTCAAGAAGGCTGATATCGAGGAGTCACCCGCGCCAGCTGCTTTGCCCAAAGAGCCCGATGCGGATGTTGAGGTTATGCCCGATACTCCTCAACCATGCCTTCCACAGCCCTCTCGTCGTTCCAGCCGGAAATCAAAGCCGACCCTCAAAGCACAGTGTCTAAAGAGTTCAGCTCGTCCCGCTGTCTCTTCAGAGTCCTTTGGAGCCGGCGAGAGCGAGGCACCTGGTGTACATGTTTCAGCTCAAAGCGACGCACCAGATGAGCTGGCTACGGAGGAGAAGGGTGCGGCTACACCTACCGAGCCGACTTCTATTCGAGTTGAGGTTCCCACCGCGGACGAAACCCCACCTCTGCCGTCTTCGCCGCCGCTGCCAAAGGCTCAAGTTGAGGATGCAGTACCTTCAGACTCGCGGCTCCCAAAGAGTTCTGCTGAACAGAATCCTTTAACACCTAGTGAAGGGGAACGAGCCGCTGCGCCAAACGCTCCGGGGTCAACAACATCAACACTCACTGTTCTCACAGTAACGCCTATGCAGTCGGACAAGACATCACCAGCAACTCCGGAATCCGTGGAACTGCCGCATCTCTCGCCAGACAGGCCAACTCGAGGACGGCAGCCTACTAAATCGTTGCCCAAGCTTACCACCGGGTCCCGGGTCACGAAACCAGGCACGCGGACACGGAAGCCGTCGCGAAGGGCGGCTCGTCTTGACTCTGTATCGACGGACGAGTTGACTCGGTCGCCTTCTGTGAACGGGTTTGAAAATAGCATTATCCACCCCCCAAAGATGACGGCTCGCAGCAGCCGCCTATCCATGCTGTCCCACGCCTCCAAAGATAACATTGGCAAATCAAGCATATTCGCCGGCATGGCCTTTGCGATTTCCTTTCAATCAAAGAAGGACGGCGAGAAATTTGACCAGTATGAGAACCGCCTTGGGCAGAGTCGAGAGGTTGAGAAAATGATTGTCCAATCCGGCGGCCATCTGCTAGGCAACGGCTTCGACGAGCTCTTTGAACCCAACGCTCTTGGAAGCCGAGCAACAAGCCCGGCTTCTGAGGTTAGAGACGACAACCCGCTGACACTGACGCCTTTCGCTCAAACCATGGGATTCACCGCCTTGATTGCCGACGGACATTCCCGCAAAGTCAAGTACATGCAAGCACTCGCCCTCGGCTTACCATGCATATCGGATCGATGGGTTGCCACGTGTGTGGCGAAGGGAGCCGTGGTGGACTGGCTTCCCTACCTGCTTTGTGCGGGTCAGTCAACGTTTCTCCGCGACGCGATCCGTTCTCGATACTTGGCGCCCTATTCGGCAGTCGACGCGCGCCTCGTCGATATCATCGAGAGGCGACCCAAGATGTTAGAGGGCAGCAAGATTCTCCTTGTGATGAAGAAGTCCAGAGCCGAGGAAAAGAAGATGCCCTACGTTTTCCTTGCACATGTCCTGGGCGCCACTCTCTCTCGTGCCTACAGTATGGATGAGGCTAAGGAGACTTTGAGGCACCGAGAGTTTCTCGGAGACCCCTTTGACTGGGTCTACGTTGACGAACATACTGGGTCGGAAGAGGAACTGTTCGGCCCTGATTCCCAACCAACGAAGGCGCCGAAAACATCAAAGAAGAGAAAGAGGGCCAACGCACCTGCGGCACACGAGGCAGCCCGGGCACCGAAGCGGATTAGGACTCTCAGCAACGAGCTGGTCATCCAGAGTTTGATCCTCGGTCGGATGATTGAGGAGGGTGAACTGGAAGCGTGAATCGCAGAAAATGACAGACGATGCATCAGTACATGAACAACTCGAGGGCAGAGAAAATTTTGAGCGGACTCGGGAGTCGGAAGAGAACACACAATGGCGTTTGGCATTAGCGGGACTCCGGTTTTGTGGGATGATACCTCGGTCAGGATAGGAGAGCCTTTCGCATCGCATGGGTCGATTATATTTGCCCTTGCCCTCTACAATAAACTTCATAATGGCCATGGTCATGACGCATCCTATGTTGAAATGTGACTAGGGTTCAGGTCGCAATGGTCCCCGCAGGGCTTTTGGTAAGATGTCTATCCTGCGCCTCAAGTGCACACGTTCACGCACATTCCGATTGGGTGATCTATCTGCTCGTCCGCACGCCATGCCCGTTTGAAATATGCAGGCGATTATTTCTGTAGCCGCCTGGAAGGGCTCAGCCCTTGACAGTTGCCTCCTATATAGAGCCAATAAGCACTGCTTCTACCACCCCAGTCGCTGGAATCTTTGAAGAAACCAATTGATTTCTTGTTGGAGTAGGCTGCCTATGGCTACAACCTCAACATCCTGGACAGCAGTTCAGGATTTTCTTCAGAACAGCGATTACCAAACCATCGCTTGTTTCAACCAAGTCAACTGGGATCAGCTATGCCGAATTGCCTCAGATGCCAACCGCAGCTTGGAATGTGTACCCCTTGACCAGATCGCGAGCGGACTTAACAACCTTGTCCGTCAACTTGAGTTCTCCGATAAAACTCGTTGGGCAGCACGGATTCCCATCATACGAAGCAAGTCTTCAGGTTCCTATGGGGAAAATCTTGGAAATGAACTTGCGGCAATGCAGTTCATTCAAGAGAATTCCAGCTTGCGAGTACCCCGAGTCTTTGCCTACAACACCAACATGAACAATACTGCAAAGGCTGCCTTCATGCTCGTCGAAGTGCTCCCTGGTATTGTTGCGATGGATGCTCACGGCGGTCACAGTGCACACGGTGGCGTGATACCTGCAGAGCACCGAAAGACTTTTTATCAATCTGTCGCTAAATGTCATGTTCGTCCTGCCTTTTTGGCCTGAAGGAATAGCAACTTACTGTAGTAGGTCCAGATAACGTCATTGCGACTCCCAAAAATCGGGGTCATCAGCCAGAGGGAGGACGGCGGATACGAGGCGGGCCCCATTCCGGGGATCGGCGGTCCGTTTGATACAGCAGCGGCCTTTTTTGAGGCATGGGCCGACAAGGCCAGGTTCGGGCGCGACAAGGAATCAATCACTAAAATGATGCAGAGAGGTCCAATTCCGGCGGAAGAGATGGTCAGAATCATCGACGAATTCCCTTTGCAGATCAAAAGCATGGCGAAACTGCTCCCTCTGCGCAACGAGGGACCATTTCCTCTGTGCCACGATGATTTCCTCCACAGCAACATCATGGTCGACGAAGCCAGCTTCAACGTAACAGGAATCATTGATTGGGAGGGGGCATGCACGGTTCCCTGGGAACTCGTTACGTACCCCGGGTTCGTTCAAGCCATGCCTCGGTCGTTTGACTTGCCCCAACATTATGACGAAAATGGGCACCCCTTGGAGGAAAGCGTGAGAGAAAGGTGGCGCGAGCGGCGAGACTATGTTGAGATGGTGGAAGCGGTGGAAGGTGAAGATAAGATGCTCTCAACATCTCTCAGTAGTAACTTCAACCAGGCTTTCGCCTACTCGTACGGAGCGTTTACTAATGGGAAATTGGGGTTCTACGACAGAGTTATAATGGAATTGGAAAAAGGTATTTAGCCAAATATGGCCCGTTAGCACCTTCGCATACACAGGCATGGAGAAGAGCTTCGTAGGATGGCGCGTTAGGAAATCAACTGCAAGGTGGTTTACCAGCGTTTCTGAGTGAGCCTCAAGAGAGCTTTTCACGTAGGATCCATGGAGCACAGTGCCATTTTTTGTGTTTTGAACAAATCATATTCATGCTCGTTGATGGCTCTTTTGGCCATTTGAGTAACAAAAAGGTAATCCATTATCCCTGATCTCCGTGTGCTCCTCCATCGAACCAAAACAAACAAGCACCGCTCATGCTTTTGATTTCCCGCCCATGTTTGTGTGTATATAGACACTTGTAACCGTTTACGCCTTGCTTTTTGTTTAAACCATCCATTTGCTCCATGCCAGTATTATTTACTGCGTCACCTGAGAACAACCGGAGGATTGCTTTTCTCTCAATTGAGTCTCCGCGAGAGTAGCCCGCATTGCGGAGGCGATCGACCCGAAGCTCGAGATTGGCATCAGCCCGGGGATGGACCCGGCTTTGACCAGCTTCTTGCTGCGTCGAACGTTGCGCAAGACATTGACCGTCTTGGGCTTCTTGGGTTGCTGGACGGCCTTGGTGGCTGTCTGGGACGTCTTGGTGGTTTTTGAGAGATTGGGAGACGAGCCGGTGGATGATGGGCCCGTGTGTGGACTAGAGATGGGACCAGAGAGTGGGCCGGTGATTGGACGAGAGGATGAGAGGGCACTGCTTGATGAAGCTTTGGCCGAGGTTTTCTTGATGCCGCCGCCAGAGGGCTTGAGAGGACCCTTCTTGTCCTCGGGTGTGCGTTCAACGCGGATGGAGCTGGCGGGGCGAGTGACGGGCTTGAGGATAGCCATGGTGAAGGTGCTTCTGAGAAGATTGAATAGAGAGAGGTAGAGAGGGTAGAGTGGAGTAGAAGGGGTGGGAGGGAATGGGATGCGAGTGGATGAGATGGGAGTGGACGGGATGAGGGTGGACGGGATGAGAGTGGATGAGATGAGAGTAGTGGGGATGAATGTAAAAGGGATGAATTTAAAGTAGAGTAGAGGGTTGAAGTTCGTCTCCAGAGGAGAATATTTGGTGATGGTGGTTGTTTGTGAGGAACGAGGTCCTAGTATGGGTGTATGGCTTTTCTTCAAGAAATGGTATGCGGAGGAAGTTTTGAATCGAACAGTCCCTCGAGAAGGGGACCTGGTATTTATAGGAATCAGAAAGGGCTTTCTCCGATATCCTCTCCATAGTTTGAGACTTCTCCGTTAAGTTATCAATAGTTTGTGGGCAAAAGTTAGTCGGATGGTTGTCGTGGATCGCCAATGGGTCAACCGTAGAGGGCGAGAAGGCTACCGGGATTTCAACGTAAGTCAATACTCCGATTTCTCAGTATTGCCCGTAAGCAAGTCACAGAGGCGGACATAGGATGAGAGTCTAAATCGCGGGATTAGGAGAGAGATGAAGGATCACTGGTCTTCTTGTATGATTAACTTCAGACATTCAGAGGGATCAAGTGAGCCACCAACGGAGGAAGACACCAAAGCTGGGCACTCCCGGTTCCCGGCTTCATACACTAACACAGACTTCGACTATCTTCTTTTCTCCGTCACATATGTGTCTACCCGATTGAAGACTGCGCAGAGTCTCGTGGGCAGAACCTCATTTCCCGATGAAAAGATGGAGGTATAATGTTCACCACTCCATAGCTTCCTTGACACCATCGAAGTAAGGAGCGACTGGTGTAATTGTGGGCATCGACGAACCGAGTTTGAGTCGGGACGGGCCCATTCATCCGCAAAGGTGTCTGCATGTTCCTATCGACTTGCTGTGGACGGGCCAGTAGGGCTCGCCCAGCTCGTCGACCCGGTATAGGGCTTGGGAAAGCACAATATTGATAAAGGGCTCGCCGAGGGCAGCCGTCTGTCTGGCCAATCCAAACCATCGGACGTATTAGAATTGGATGTTGGATGGTGCAGACAATGAGAAGGGCCAGCGGCCGCCAATTAGGTTTCCGACGGGTCAGCCGACATCGCACTCAAAATCCCGGTACAACTTTAATTAAACTTCACTTCACTGCGAACTTTTGCAGAGCACCTGGGGGCAACGATGAGTTACCTTGGGGAGTACCATGGGAGGGTCACGGTGTGGCATGGCGGTTCCTCGCTGATGTAGTCGTGATTCATGGCAAATAACGACGGCAGTCGCATGTTGGCATTATAAGTCAACTTGCTAAGCTAGAGCTGGGCTCGTTGTCAACAAGAGCAGATGAGGGCTTCCAGACAGCCGCCGCTTTGTCCCGATATTCCAATGTCCCAGATTGTCCCAAGCTCTATTTGGAAGCGCTCGTCGCCTCACGCGGGTCATGTGCTGCGTACGATAAGTCTGCCAAAACGCCCTCTATATACATTCATGTCGTCCTCGATTCTATGATGCAAATTTCAACACCAGTGCTATGCCTGGACCCTTTGAGTGGATAGAAATCACTAACTCATCGTACCTTACCATACGAGTCGTCTAATTTTGTGCGTACAGATGAGCACATCCGGGCTGTAGCTCATGCTCTTCAATCTTCATCCCAGTTAGTATCGGAGTAATAGTCGAAAGACGCCGGAATCGGCGCGTCCTTGCTGTTTGGGCTGTCGGGGTCGACCTCATCCACCAGATGCTTCTTGACTTCCTTGGCAACAGGATTGCCGACTTCCACGGGAGCCGTGTCTTGCACCGGCCCGAGTGAATGATGTGCGTGATCGGCGCGCAGCATCGTCGTCATCCACTTCGCCCATTCCCAGGGCTTATCCCGACCGGAAGGCAAGCTGTTGAAGTACTCCCAGCCCATAACCCCGCCGAAGCGCGCATAACGGCCTCGGAGCGTGAGGAGCACGGCGCCCAGCATCTCCCACGGCACCCACCCAGAGCCGTTCTCGGGGTTCGTGACCAGGCCCATGACGACCTTCTCGGCCGGCCAGCCCTTTGCCAGTATCATCTCGTACATAGCCGTGCTGCTGCAGTCGCCCCACCCGCAGTAGAACTGGGCGTTGTACCAGCCAATGTCTCCGCCGCGCATCACCTCGAGCGCCTCGTAGTCGAAGCCGCTGAGGTTCTTTTCGGGCATGAGGAGCGCAGCGGCGACGGGCGCCAGGGAGATTATGAAGTCCTTGCCAAAGTCCTGCCTGATGCGGTCGATGAGGCGGATAACGCCGGCCAGGCTCATCACCTCCTCGACGTCCAAGTCAATACCGTCCAGGCCGTACGTGCGCAGCATGTCGCGCAGCGGGATGTAGTATTCCTCGAACTGGGCTTCGCTGCCGTCCAGCCGCTTATACGATCCCTGGGCGGCGCCGCCCAGCATGCCCATCACCTTGACGCCGCTGGCTTGCAACACACGCAGCTCGGCCCATAATGTGAGGAATCGCGGGTTGTCGGGTGCATGGTCGTTCAACGTGAGACCGTGGGGATCATCGTTAATGTGTATCGCCGCGAGGATTACGTGCGTGACGCTGATGCCGGGTTGGGTCAGGAGCGGGAGGATCGAGATGGGCTTGCCTTCGGGGGTGTGGTGCGTCTGGTAGTAGGTGATGACCCGCGGGAGAGGCTGCGACGGTATGGGCGGCATCGAAGGGGGGGACTGGCGGCCGCGATCCTTGCGAGATCGACGGCACTCGAGGGGATCCGGATCGGGTATTGGAACTAAGAGCGCGACACGTGGGATGGACGAAGATCGGGTGGTTGCGTGCTCGGAGAAGCTAATGCGGGGTGGAAGCGGGAGGTGGTCGTCGAGGGTTCGGATCGACCGTTGGAGCTTCAGCGGGGGTTCCTGCGTCATAGGGGGTCCCTGATGGCCGATTACATAAGCTCACTGCCCTGGCCATTTCACTTTACACATCTTATTACCCTTCATACGTCTTGCTTTCTACACTTCTCAGTCTCTACACTTCTCGCTCTTTCGACTCACTCGCTCTATCGAAGAACGTAGGAGGAAGTGAGTGCATGGAATCCTCAATCTCTTTTCTAGTCATCTGGGCCTTGCGGTTGTGACGATATCTCCATCAGGCAAGCCCGAGACACGCTTTCAATGTGGCCTGTCTCGGCTCAAACGACCTCCTCGTACTGGTTGATCAAGCGTTGAGGCACCAACCCTCGCAACACCACGACGCCAGCATGAACGATACCCCATCGAACCGTGGTCAAGATGTCCGCCATGATCCACACCAGCCCGTTTGTGCGCTTCCGCTCCCTCCGCAACGTGATCTCGCTACGGTCCGCCCGCTCTGACATGCTGGTGATTAGAGCCTCCATCTCCCCTTGCGGGTCCCAGATCATCTCGTCCTCCTCGAGCTCTGCGTCGTCATCAAATTCGTCGAAGCTCCTGCGGGACGAGCCCCTGTGGCTGCGGCTCGGGCGCGCGTGGTGGTACGCCCAGCAGGTGAGGGTCGCGAGGTACAGGCACCACGGCACGTGGAAGAGGTTCATGGCCTCTGTGTTCTTGTGAATCCCCCTCGTCTCCCGCAACATGCGCGCTGCGTGCCATGCCGCGCCTGACGCGGATTGCTTCGATTGGCTGCCGTTGTCGTCTACGTCCCTGTGATTCTGTCGTGCGCTGGAGAGGTGATGCCTTGGATGTGTGTCAGAACAGGTGGCCCATCTCTTGACCACTTGCGCCGACCGATGGTAATCTCTCTGCTGTACCGGCCTGCCCAATATGTGGCGCGCTCCGGCGTATATCTGGACGTCGAGGAAATCCATGTTCAGGAGGGCTTGCGCCGAGTGATACAACGCCTTGTATGCCGACGCGAATGACTCAAACTCGACGCGCCGGACCTCGTCGTCTCTGTCCTTCCCGTGGCTTCCCTGAGCGCGCGCCTGGGAGGCGGTTTCTGGGGGCGCTGAGAATCCTGCACAATATGCGTCGAAGTCGCTCTTCCACGCATCGTACGCTGTGCTCAGCAACCTGCGCCAGCCCGTGCCGGAGCTGTCGTGAGAAACAACCCCGAGGGCGGTCTGGTCGCGTCTGCCCATGTCCCAGGATATCGACATCAGGCCATGTAGAACCAGGACCCGTGAGAACCCGGCGAGCCCAGATGGTCGCGGCGCCGAGGGGGTGAGGTATGACTTCAGCGTTGGGAGGTAGAACAGCCTTTGGTCGCTCAAACTCGAGCGCCACGCCGATGCCCATGATGCAGCATCCCGCGCTTCCCAGATGGTTTGGCTGCAGGGTAGTTCCAGCCGCAGCTCAAAGGCCGACATGCAGAGGCTCTGGCAGAAGAGCACCGCGTGCTGGGTGTCCCACATGAAGCAGAGCAAGGCGAGTCTAGCGCGGTAGTGTTAGACCTTTTTCATTGATGGAACAACATTGCCAAGGCTTGCGAGAACTTACCTCTTCTTCTGCTCCCCTTCCGCCCATTTCCTCCACGCTCTATCCAGAGCCTCGGCATTGTCCTCTCCCAGTATTGGCGGCGGGCCTGGGGGCCGAACGGACTGACAGTCGGACCGTCGAATGAGGTTAATCAGGAGTCCGTGGAATAGATGGCTCATGTCGTGCTGCTTCTGCCCCGCGCGTGACTTGCCGAAGCACTCGACTAACAGGATCGTCTGTAGGGTCCAGAGCTCCGGTCTGGGTGAGAAACCCGCATGCGCAAAGATGCTCGGCCGGATGACATCGTGAATGCAGACGGCCAGTTGGTGACAGTCTTTGTTCGAGTACGTTGCGCCCAGGAGCAGGATCGAAAGCAGAAGCAGGGGCTCGGTTTTCCGGCAATCAAACGTCTCGAGATGGATCAGCGGGTAGGCCGTGTTGAAGCGCGTGAAGAACAGGCCCAGGTAGGCTTTGAGGGAGTCTACGGAGAGTAATGGATGCTCCCATATCGTGAACCGCTGATCTGGTAGACTTGGCCTGGCCGCGTCAATCACCTCCAAGAGCCTTTGCCTAACGTCTGCACTAATGTGAGGAATTATGAGCGGTTTCCTCAGGGAGGAAAGTGGGCGCTCTGGTTCTACTGGGGTTTGTCGGCTATCCGTGAACTTTTGCCGAGTCGCTGGAGGCGTATTCGTACATGTATGTGTCCGGGACACAGGGGCACCTGAGCCCCTTTCCCTAGAGCCGTTTGGAATCTGCTTCCTAGAAGCTTGCGTTTCGGTTTGCAAACCATCGGATGGACCAGGTGGTCTCTCTGCTCGCTTAGGCTCTTGGGCATTCGCCTCCATCGGTTCCGTCCACAACTGCGCGCTCTTCATAGACTCAGGGGTAATCACCAGGCTAGGCTGCGTTCTCGTGGGTGGCGGGTGGGTAGAGCCTCGAGCGTCGAATTGCTGATTCGTATTTGTGGGTTTTGGGTTGGCAGCAGAGGCCGAGAAATCTTGCATATCAAACAGCCAGTTATAGTCAAGGGCGGTGGTGTATGGCATGTTGAAAGAGCTGGCGGTGTCTGGCTGAAAGACTTGGTCATAGTCCAGCTGCCCGCTGAACAGGGACGTCTCACCCCAGCTGCCTGCTTGAGAGGCGTCGATGTCGAACTGGCTAGCTGCCGTCGTGATAAGATCAGATGACTGTAGGGATGGCGGGAATCCCGAGAAGTGATTGATAGTATCGGATGGAATGAAAATGCTTCCACGACCGAAAGCGTATGAATGGTTGATATTCAGGTTTCCTGGTCGCAAGTCGAGCTCAGGATTCCTTGGGGCCTCGGGAGATATGCTACCACCCGAATAGCACTGGCTCCCTCTAGGATCTAGGGATGAAAGGCTGTGTTCTTCGTTCAACTCGGGCTCCGGCGAGGGTACTTGCTGCGGTTGTGTGCGTCCACGTCCCGATCCGCCCTGGCCCCGTCCAGATGGATTTGGACAGGGCCGCTTCTCCACCACAGACCCGTCCGGAGCCTTCCAAGACCGCTTTCTTGTGTCTAGAGTGCCGCAACCTGGCCCGCCCGCTTCGAGATCCTTCTGGCGGTGACGGTCCATGTGCCGTTCTGTAACCGTCAGCTACAAGATGGAACGAATGAGATGAGGCAAGTGATAAAATGGGCACAACTGTTTCATTTGAAAAGACAAATGCCAGAAACCTCTGCCTACTTACTCAACAGGTCAGGCCGTTTGAAGTGAGCACTGCAAAGATCACAGCTCAGGCCTCCGGGCATATGGTTGAGAGCATGGCGTTGCATGTGCTCCGCACGAGTAAATCGTCTTTGGCAACCGGGATGAGTGCAAGCGAATACCTTTTCCACGCCTACTAGCCCATCAGAGCTCTCCGAGCGACGATGATTGTCATGGATGGCAGCCATTGTCATGGGGTCGTTCGCGGCTGCAACAAGACCGTGCTGCTACCCACTTCCGGTCACAACCTCAATCACCCCTAGTTGCAAAATGAGACTTCAGCTCTACAATCTGCATAGAGGTGCGAGGAAAAGAATGGCATCGAAGGAATTGCAGCAAGTATCCAAGCTACTTCCATAGATGGGGGAATGGGGATGAGCATGGCCATTTGACGACTCCGGCTATCCCACTTCTCCGCATCTCTCCCTCCGCGTCTCTGAAGAGTAACCTTACCCGGTCCGTGAAAATGAGTGACATATCCGAAGAGGGGGCTGTTGATAGGTCTGGGATGCTTGTCTGGTTGGCCCCCTCCCCCACTGTCGATCACTGTCACTCGTGATAAGCAGTCAAACATCTCCGCAGTAACAAACTCAGCACTATCAACAGATAAGGGCGGGGTAAAGCGACTATGTGCCTGTGTTGCACTCCATGTCCGGCCATGTCTTATCTTCTGAGCTCCGTATTGCCGTATTAGGGATACCAGGCTCGCCGGTAGATAGTTGAGGAAACCTGGCGCGTCTAGCCGGAGACGGAATGCTGATGTGGGCGTTGGCTTCGGAGGTCGCGCCACAGAATCAGCCGAGCAGCCGCATGCCACTTGAGCACGAACCATCGGGAAATCGTGATTCGATTATTCCACTCTTCCGTTTACCCTTTTGCAATCGGAGATGGTATGCATATGCTGGATAATGTTTGCCTTCATTGGAGAGGGCTTTGTATACAAGCCGCATCCCACGCTGGCGCGTGCGGAGTAGACGAACCGAGCAGCATTTTAGGTTCAATCGCGGCGTTCATTGCCAATCATATCATCACATGCTTTGGCTGGACAGACCAGAAGGTCACAGACTGTCTATTTGCTAATCGCACGTCACAATCTCAAGTACCCCTCGCAAGACGAACATCATGCAAACGAGAGACTCCAGAACCTATGTGATCCAGGAGAGAAGGCAGCGAGACGCAGACAGCAAGCTGCATGTAAGCGAAGAAAGCTTCCAACATTCAGTCGGAGACTGGCTAACCATCACCCTTCATAAAAGGTAATCATTGTCGGGGCCGGATTAGGCGGACTTGGTGCCGCCATCTCAACACTTCTCGCCGGACATGACGTGACAGTCTTAGAAGCTGCCTCCAATATCGGAGAAGTCGGAGCCGGCATCCAAGTCCTACCGAACGCGGCGCGGATTCTCTTTTCCTGGGGTCTGGAGGAGAAGCTCGAGAAGTTCGCCACAAAACCCCAAAAATGCAACTTCATCGGCTGGAAGGGCAACTTCTTGTCCGACATGGACTATCACGCTTACACCGCTGCTGCGGGAGGCTTCCCATTCTGGGACTTTCATCGCTCCGACCTGCATCGGTGCCTTCTCGAGCGGGCAGTCGAGCTCGGCGCCAAACTCGAAACCGGCGCCAAGGTCGACACGTTCACAGTCTCTCCAGACAACGCAACAGCGACGGTTTTCCTCGCCGACGGACGCAGAATGTCTGCAGATCTTGTCGTGGGGGCCGACGGCATCAACTCGAAGCTGAGGGAAGAGTTCCTATGCAGGCCGGATCCGCCCCAGCTGACGGGAGATCTGGCCTATCGCCTCCTCCTGAACACTTCCGACATGCTCAACGATCCGGAACTGCGGAGCTTTGTAGAGAATCCCCAGGTCAACTACTGGGTGGGCCCGGACAAGCACGCCGTCAACTACGTGCTCAAGGGCGGCAAGCTGTTCAACATGGTTCTGCTTGTGCCGGATGACATGCCGATCGACGGCGGCAACACCTTGCAAGGAGACATCGAGGAGATGAGGGGCCATTTTGAGGGATGGGACACAAGGATCAGCAAGATGCTGCAGATGTGCGACGAGGTCCTCAAATGGCGCCTCTGCATCCGGCCTGGCCTGGAACCGACCTGGTCGCACCCATCTGGCGCCTTCACGATGCTCGGGGACGCTGTGCACGCCACTCTGCCGTATCTTGCCAGCGGGGCCGGGATGGCGCTCGAAGACGGCGGGGTCCTTGGTTTGTGTCTTGCACGGCTTACCGACAAGTCGCAGTCATCAAAGCAGAAGGCCCTGAAGATCTACGAAGACTGCCGCAGAGAGAGAACGGAAAGGGTCGTCCGCCGCGGTACCTACAACCAACGGATGTATCACCTTCACGATGGTAAGGAACAGGTTGAGCGGGATGAGAAGTTTAAGCGTTTTGGAGAAATGGACGAGAAGTGGTTGAACGAAGACTCGCCTGTTTTGCCCGAGTCCCAGGAAACTGGGGATGATCCCTTTCCCTGGAGATATCATGGCGTAGCAAGATGGTTGTTGACGTATGATATGTGGAAGGACGTTGAGTCAAAATGGCCGTCAACTCCTACAGCCTTCTCGTCTCAAGACTGCCAAGTTCCCCGGGCAAGTTTATAGATACTTGGTCGATGTATACCGTCTCTGTTCTCATTCAAAGTTTGGTTCTACTCTATGTATGACAATGCACTCAATCTTCTGAGTGAAAAGAAAAACAAAAAACAAAAAAAAAGCGAGATGCTCTTTATCAAATAAGATTGCGATCTACACATTATGGAAACATCTCTGAACCTTATTAGTAATTGCTGGGGACAATAAGTGTTTGCTCATGTAATAACCGTGTCCGCGATTGATTCTTTTGTGCAGCCAAAACCCAATCCTATCATTACTTTGGACATATGAGAAGCTTCTATTTCATGCTATTCTCTTCTGTAAAGTCTGTCTAGATACGGCACACCGGCTTAATCATTTGCCACGATCTCGGCATTGTCAACCTCGTAGAACTCATAGTCATTGTATCCCTTCTCGGGAGGTTCCGCTCCATAGAACGTCGTACGGTCGTAGGGGTTCAGCGGCCAGCCGTTTCTCAACCGCTCCACCAAATCGGGGTTGGCGATAAAGTGCCGGCCAAACACCACCGCATCTGATTCGCCGCTCTTGATCTTGGACAAGGCGTTGTCACGATCGAAATTCCCAGCAGCCAAGAATCTGACGCCCGATGGCTTCAGCATATCTCTGAACTGCGTCAGGTTGTTGGCCGGCTTGGATTCTGGCTTTGATCCGCACAAGGAGGCGAGCTTTTGCTCCTCGTCGAGGACTTCGTCGAAACGAGGTTCGATCCTGTGATCGGGGTGGCCCGAGTGAGCAATACCGTCCCGGACACAGACGAATTAGGTACTTACATGTGCACATAGACGGGACGCTGACTGTTTGGGAGCTCAGCGAGTCTCTGGGAAATGTACGACCAGTGTTTGTTAGGGTCGCTGTCTCGCGTCCCCTGGAAGTAGTTGTACGGGGAAAGACGAAGGCCGACTTTTTCGGGACCGATGGCGGCGCTGACAGCTGACAAAACCTCGAAGAGGAATCTTGAGCGGTTCTCAACTGAGCCTCCATACTTGTCAGTACGATCGTTAATGTTGTCATGGAGGAATTGCTCTAATAGGTATCCGTTTGCGCCTATTACAGGTATTATTAGCGAGGCCATGCAAAAGTTGCTCATTAAAGGCTTCATACCATGGATCTCGACACCGTCAAATCCTGCAACTTCGACCGCCCGCTTTGAAGCAGCAGCCCACTCTGCCGTCAGGTCGTGGATTTCTTCAACGGACAAAGGTCTGGGAGGGCCATCTTTGCACTCGGTACCGTCTAGGTACTTCCCATCCATGGGCTGACTGCCCGATGAGACTGGGGTGTTGCCGCCTCTCATGCCGGCTGATGAGGCTCTGCCGGTATGCCAGAGCTGGACGAAGATAAAACCGCCCTTGGAATGGACGGCATCTGTCACCTTGCGCCAGCCCTGCAGCTGGGAGTCGGTGAAGACGCCTGCGACACCAGGGTATGCGCTGGCGTTGAGGCAGATGTCCGTGGCCTCGCTGATCTGGAGACCGCCATCACTGGCTCTCTCGCCATAATACTTTGCGACACGAGCGCCGGGGACGTATACTCCGCGGGATTCGAACTCGCTCCTCATGCGAGTTGTAGGCGCCTACAGTTGAGTTGGCATAAACCCCTCGGGCTACAAGAATGTTTTTTATGAGAAGGGCTTACCTGCACAATTCGATGCTTGAGGCTAAGGCTTCCCAGCTTCAATGGAGTAAACAATGCTGTGTCGATGAGGGCCGCAAAAGCGGGAGGAGGGGTAGTGGCCTTGGGCATGATGTATCGTTAGAGAGCAGTGATCGGATTTGATTATCGAGGGTTGTCTGTGCCAATCTTGTGCGACCTAATAAGCCATCTAATAACGTTGAACGTGCTAGGTCTTCAACAGGCTGTACGAAGCTTGAATCACCGCGCAAAGCCACGAGTTTGTTCACCACTGAATACATTGTTCTGGCGGTAGAGATCTTCACGTTGATCGCTGATTTCAAGCGCACCAACACCCCATTTTCAGGAGTGGGAGTGGAGCTAACCCCCGATGCCTGGGAGTGGCGGGAGGTCTATTATCTTGGGGGTTGGGGGAGACTCACTTACACGGATGAAGTAGTTTGTATCCGCCCTGTCATTAATAGACTGACAAGTTATTTATCAACCCACTTCCCAATCCACTTCCGGAAACCGCCGATTTTATCCCCGCGCAAGTTACATTCGGAAGTCCATGGGCTAGCCTAGGGGCGGGGAGCTCGGAAACGCGGGATGCCAGGCTCTCACCCCCACATGGGTCGCACATCGGCACGGAGACGGTGTTCATTGGTGGGGCAATCTTATTTGAACCGTGTAAGCGATAACGTGTACGAGCTACTACCGGACATTCTTAGTTATCGATGACTGGACTGGCAGAAACCTCATCTCAATGTCCTGCTGTGTCCCCGTGTCCTAAAAGGCCACACGCGATTGGAGTGGGAACGACGGGAATAAGCGGTGTCACCAGGAGCTAGCGACGGAAAAGTTTAGCCTACCGCACAACGTCGGGAAGTGGATAGCAGCCAATGACCGAGCAGGGGTGAGATTGTGTGACGTGAGGAGAGGGTTATCTAAGGAGTTGGAATGACCCTCCTATGGAGCAGAGAAGCCGGGGGCATTTTCTCTTTCTCTTTCTTCTCTTTCCCCGTTGCCAACGGGAGTTTGGCTTTACCTGGAGCCCAAGATCACGAGTGGTCGCCCTAGTATTGTTTCGTTGGAGACGAATGCAGATAAACGCATATTCAAAGCGAGTCGTTTTCCAGAATCGAAGAATTCTCATGTGTTTGGGTATATGCTCTACAAGTGGATAGGGCTGTCATCAGACATAGATAGAACGACTAAATAGAAGCATGCCCGTGGGTCTCATAAGGAAGTCCGAAGCAGAAACCGCCGACCAGTACCCATAATGCCGCACTGGCGTATATCGGCACCACAGTGTACCCGGCGTATGTTGACACAAACGATGCCACAAGACCGCCCAGACGAAGGAGCGTGGCAGCGATTCCTGTGCCTGTCCCACGAACGGGGCCAGGAAAGGACTCGGGTGTGAATGCGTACATGATGGCATATTCTGTTAAGCGACTGTTAGCAAATTCGTCCCCACGGCCTTGTGTTCCAGAGAGTCAGCAGACTTACCAAAGTTTCCGAGAATCGCGGTGGCACACTGGAAGCCAACGTCAGCAGCTTCGGTTCCGACGGCCGTGTAGGCGAAGAGGAAGGCCCCGGTCAATACGGCAGAGCCCGCCATCATCCACCGACGGCCGAAGCGTGTCTCGACGCAGAAGCCGGCGGCTATCGGACCAGTCACCCCGGCCGAGGACACGATGCAGTAGACCATGTAAGTGTGGTCCAAAGACGTGTTCGCGGAATACGACGACTTGGTCTCCAAGTACGACGGAATAAAGGCAAAGTACAGCGGGTATGCCACACCGACGGTGAGCCAGACGAGGAAAGTCACCGAGGTGTGTTGCGCCATCTTCTTGCCGGCAAACAATTTCTTGTAGTTGTCGGCGTTGTAGTCCCTGAAGCTCTCCCTCAGGATGTCCATGTGCGACAGTTTGGACCCTCGCGGGGCCACGTCGGCGTCTACCGGGGCGACACTGCTGCTCGTGCAGTCGTCCGAGGCCGCGGTTCCATTGCAGCGTCTGTCAATGGCCTGGAGCATGTCAAGAGTCAGAGTCTCAGGGCGACCGTTGTATCGGGCAATGTAGTTCACGGCCTCGACGGCCTCGGCGTCGCGGCCCTTTGAGATAAGGAACTTCGGCGACTCGGGGATTTTGAAAACGACGATTCGAATCAAGCCGAAAGCAATGGCGATGCCGCCGAGAGTAATCATGAGGTACCGCCTAATTAAACATTGTCAGAGACGATGTTTCGACCAATCGAGGTAAGTTGCCGAATTCAACATACCAACCCATGTTGTCCTGCATGCGACACGGAGCGTTCGCCGAAGGACACGCAAAGTGTGACAGGAACAACCAAGCGAGCAGGGAGACAATGACCTGTCCCAAGTTCCACCACGCTGACAGACTAACGAGCAGCCATTGATAGGTTTGCGGCACGAACTCCAGAAAGACGACGCTGTCGACGGGGACGTTGCCTCCGGCTGCGGTGCCAATGATCGTCCAGAGGATGCAGAAGCCGGTAAAGTTCCGGACTCCAGCCACAGCGCATGCAAAGACGCCGCCGTACAGGATGGTCGCGTTGAATGCCGGCTTGCGGCCGATGAGATCAGCAGTCGTACCCCAGAAGGAGGCTCCGACGATCAGGCCGACGTAATAGGCTACGGAGCTGAAGCTAAGGCGCGCAATGTCTATGAACTCATTGCCGACCGGCGGTCGAATGGCCGTGATGCCCTGGGACCAGAAGTTATCGACAATCCAGCCAAAGCCATTCACGACAAACAGAATCCACTGGAACCTGGTTGAGAACTGCCGTTAGTCCCAGTCAATAGGACCGGGTGCTTGAAGGGGAACTCACTTTCCCATGCCAATGGCTCCCAGGTGTTTTGCAATGAGCTCTGACTTCATACGGTAGTTCTCATTCACGGCACCCGTGTAGAACTCACGGAGCGCCGAGTCGGCATCAGAGTCGGCTTCACCGTGCTGGACGGAGCCGGATAACGTCCGTCTCAAGCCGGTGTCCGCCGCACCCTTACCAACACTCTTCTCGCTCGGAGCAGACATGTTGAACACCAAGTGGTTTCGCAAAAGTAACGCAAGAAAATAGACGACTAGATGATTGGGTCCTGCTCCCGAAAAAGAAAGACGGGAAGCTTGGGACCTGGATTTTCGGCAACTCGCAGCCTTGCAGGGCGTCGAGCACCTTAGCTTTATTGAGGCCAGGTACTACAGCAGTCGACGACGAGGCGCTTACTGCCCTAGGTAAGGGTCCAAGAAACCGGAGTAAAAGGTTGCAGGAAGTTAGCCAACACGTTGAACGGCCACTCCACCAATGATATAGTTCAAGACCCGTTATGCCAGGGGCTTTCTGGGGCCAAGGACAAATCAAGGGTCCTTTTCCACTAGGGTAGCCTTCACCTCAGCCTCAGGCTGGACAGATAGGGAGATGTAGATGGACTATCACTCGCCTTGGCGTATGGATGTTGATACGGTCAATCTCTCCCTTAGCTGCGATATATCGTCCCAACCTAAGCCTTTAGGGCCCTCCCCACCCCCACTTTGACATGCACGGCCTGTTCCATAACTTGACGGTGACTCCAAACCGGCTGGGATGTTTGATATAGGCTCGCCAATCAACCCGGCCGCGCGCCGCGTCAAGCTGCCTTTAGAGTTTAGAAAACAAGGAAGTGGTGTGAAACCCTCCGCCCGCATGTTGTGCTATGATGATCTCATAGATGTGGGCTGGTCGCATCCCGGGAGCGCGCGCAATTCTAAAAAAGCCAATATTGCATTATCTGCAAAATCTCTGCAGGTCAATCTTGGATGACACGCGTAACAAAAGGGACACTGAAGCTCTCGTGTCCTTGAATTATTACCCGATCAGAGAAGATAAACAGACGCACCAAGAAGCTCATACGCTGGGCGGATGCGTAAGATGAGCAAAAATCGTGCCGCTTGCGCTGCATGTCCCATATATTGTCGTGTCACTCCGTACACACCGCTATGTTCCCTGCCTCGCTCGGCCTGCATGAAGCGCCGTTTAATAGCCGTCCGCTACATGTAAAAAGCCACCAAAGTAGTCATCCAGCCATTGTGCCGCCAACTCGCCGGCGCCACCATCTGTAGTGCTCCAACGGCTAATAGACCCTACGTAACCGTCCGGTCGCACGACGATCACCCCAGCTTCGTTGGGGAGGAGACCGCCCAGCCACTTGTCCGTACAGGACCGGCCTTGTGTGTCCAGGTGCGCCGCATCGTCCAGGTATACCGTCCAGCCACTCTGAGCAAGCAAGGGCGGGAGAGAAGCAATCTCGAACTCGTTCTTGTCCGTAGATGCTGTGTGCGCGCCGTGTCAGCGTCATGGCGTGCAAAACACATGGCCAAGTGAAACTCGCTGGTTGGTCAAGGACAAAGCTCGGAGCGTCCTCCGATGTGGGGAGAACTAAGGGACCCGACGGACGAAAGGAAATCACTTACTGATGAGGGCAAATGTGCAAAGTTGACTGACTGGAGTGTATCTCTCAGGGCGGACATAGATATCATCGGCCCTTCTGGCCCGGGGCTTCGATTCGTACGACTGAGCTGCTACCCTCGACAGGCGCGAGACCAGAGAAGACGGCCGCGTGATACCGTCACCAAAGGCGCCCAAGAACGAGGCGCCCGCAGCGCCCGACACATTGTTCGACACCACGTAGACGCGGAATTGCCCCAGAACAGGAATGTCCAGCTGGGCGTCTACGGGACATGCGTCGATGTACCGAGTGAGCTTTGCGGGTGGGAGATTGCAGCCCGGGTTAGCGGAGCCCTTGACGGCTTCTCCGCATCCTCGATTGAGCTCGTTCTCGCCGTATTCGACGCCCACGCCCGAGATGAAGCGCGTGTTGGTCTTGAAATTCTCTGCCAGGCGCTTGGCATCGCCGCGGGCGATCTCGTTGGCGTGTTCGAAGTCGAAGTCGATGAGGTCGTGCGCGATCTTCTTGCGCTCCTGCTCGTACGTGCCCAACAGGACGCTTTCCTTGGCGAGCCCGCGTAACGCCAGGTTCAGCTTCCAGCCCAGGTTCCACGAGTCGTGTATGCTCGTGTTCATGCCCTGGGCAGCCTTTGGGCTGTGCGTGTGGCTGGCGTCTCCGGCGATGAAGGCTCGTTGGCTCGCGTCCGAGAAGCGCGCAGCCACGCGCTGGGCGACTTGGTAGTTGCCGAACCACTCCACGGAGCGCCATTTAACGCTGTAAGGTGCCAGTATCAGCTGCGCCTGTTCCATGACGTACTCCTCGCCCAAGTCCTTCGACGAGGTTGAAGACTTCATCTCTATGTAGAAACGGGTCATGTTGCGTTCACGGGGGATAATGAGGATGGACCCATGTTGCTCTGAGAAGACGACTGTCTTGCTCCAGATGTCCGGGAAGTCCGTCTCCAGTTCGCCGTCCAAGACGCCCCAGACCGAGGTGTGCGGCGTCCCCTGGGTGTAAGTGCCGGGAATGCTTTTTCGTACCAGAGACCGCGCTCCGTCGCAGCCGACGAGGTATTCCGAGTTGATTTCCGTCGGACCCAGACCAGCGCGATCGCAATCAATCTGCAGAGAGCCGTCGTCTAGGGCGCAGTAGGTTTGGAAGCTGTGGCTGCGCTGGACTTCGACTCCGCTCTTCCGGAGGTCCTCGATGAAGACAGCCTCCATCATACCCTGATGACACAGCAGGATGTACGGCTGCAAAACATCCACAACGGATGCCGGGTAGTGGACGGACCGGCTCAGCCGGCGCAGGTCGGCATCGTTGGAGCTCTGCCACATGCAAATGTCGTGAACCCTGACTCCGGTGCGGAGAAGCTCGTCGCCGAGGCGGAGCATCTGCAACGTTTCGATGGATTTGGGCTGAATTCCATCTGCGCGGCCGACAGTTGTCTGGTCTGGTCTCTCGTCGATGACTTGAACGCGTTGACCGAATCTCGCAAGCAAAGTCCTGCGTCACCGGATTAGCACGGGGTGGGGCTCGGCCTGCCGGATGAAGTGGGACACCTACCCGAGCATCAGGCCGGCCGGCCCGGCCCCGACGACGCAAACATCAGATCTGCCCGCTCCCCCGTTCTGTCGTTGTTGAGAATATGAATTATGACCGCCGTTTGTGTGAGATCCCGTAAGCGTCGTCGAAGTTGCCGTCATCGTGTTGTGATAGAGAAACAAGTCCTCAATTTGTGCTAAACTTTAGTGTTGCTGGTTATCCACAGAGGATGCAAGGTTCGATATGAATATGTGGCCGAAACGACTTATACCAACAGAGCTATGCAAATTTGTTATTACGAAATATCAGCTTGCTCAGAGCAAAAAGTTATTGCTGACACAGAATCGTGCCCAAGACTTGTCACTGCATATCGCAGGAACAACATGGGTCAATATCCAGCTGATGGTGATGCGAACGGGGCCTACAAGTGTCTTACCATGTTGGCTGTTTCCATCATTGCCCGAAGGCGACCCTCCATGTTTGGCGGGCATTTTCTCCCGCTCCTCCGCCAATTCTGTATCAGGCTGCATTAGATCGATCCCCCACTTACGAAGGATCAAAGAACATGATGGCACAAACCAAGCCGAGGCGGGGTATCCCGCGGGAAAAGGAACCTAAATCTTTTCCCGGTGTAACGGTCTCCACTGATAAACAAACCACTTCGTTAGGATCTCGGCGTTCCAAGTCCGATACCGGCGTATTACACCAATCAGATCCGCCCGACATTTTCGTGCTGGTCACTTCGGCCAGTTGTTGGTTCAGAGCACGCGGACATTCGATTGAAAGAAATCGAAGAAATATCATTTGCGGCTGCTGAAAGCAAGTCAAGCCACTCACAGCTGTTCAACAACCCCCCTAACATTATTACGTGTGCATTCTGGATAGCGCACCGGCAGCCATGATGGAACCTGCAACCACAAAGCCCACGCAGGACTGGCAAGATGTAGTGGCTAACAAGAGACAGGTTCGGGCAGAATCTATCGCCGCACAAGCACAAGAAGGAAAGGATGCAAGGTTTGTTGACATCACGAGCATTGGGGACGCTGCAGGGCTCTCATTAATGATATCACGTGGCGAAATCTCATGTGAGAATGTTGTCAAAGCGTACATCCAAAGGTACACTTCTGGTTCTCCTAAGCATACGATGTGATTACTAACTAGGCTATCTAACCTTTTGTAGAGCTATCGAAGCACATGAGAAGGTATGGATTTGTCTCTCATCATATTACTTGGCGAAAGTGCACTGACTTATTAGTCCGACGGTTTCAGACCAACTGGTAGGCTGCAGCTTCAAATCACATCTGACAGTGCCTTCACTAAGTCTACGTTTATTAAATAGTTTGACGGAGATACTCTTCGAAGATGCGTTGCTACATGCCAGAGAACTGGACGCTTATATGACCAAGCATGGCAAGCCTCTTGGTCCGTTCCACGGCGTTCCCATGACACTCAAAGACCAGTTCAATGTTCAAGGTTTTGACTCGACCCTTGGTTATGTCGGAAGATCATTCAAGCCAGCTGGAGAAGACGCTGTGATTGTGAAAATCCTACGGTCTTTGGGTGCCGTCATAATTGCCAAGTCCAATATTCCGCAGAGCATCATGGTCAGTCATAGAACTCGCCTGTTATTACGCTGCTCGCGAGTCCGATTAATAGCGAACGAGGCTGACTGTTAACCTCTTCCTCCATGACAGTGGTGTGAGACAGAGAATCCTTTATGGGGTCTCACGACCAATCCCCTGAGTGACAAATACACTCCTGGCGGCTCAACTGGTGGCGAGGCAGCCCTGCTTGCTTGTAATGCTTCGGTTCTAGGATTTGGAACAGACATTGGAGGGAGCATTCGCATTCCATCGCACATGATGGGGCTGTATGGGTTCAAACCCAGTGTAGGTTATTCCAGTTGCCGCAAGAAGGAAGCCGAGCTCCTGTCTCGGAATTGTACTCGATGCAATGGAAGCTGATATCTCTCACAGAGCGGACGTTTGCCCTACAGGGGCGTCCCGGTCTCCACAGAGGGCCAAGAACATGTCCCATCGGCTGTTGGTCCGATGGCTCGCAGCCTTAACACTATTCATCTAACGATGAAGCACCTCATCGACGCCAGGCCATGGGAGTTGGATGCTCGCTGCGCACCGATTCCTTGGCGAGACGATGTATACAGAGAAACTTTGTCCAGGCCCCTGACTATTGGTGTTCTGTACGATGATGAAGTTGTCCGTCCTCATCCGCCCTTGTCCCGTGTTCTTCGTGCGGCGGTGGAGACTCTGAAAGCAGCGGGTCACGAAGTGCTGGAATGGAACGCTGACCTGCACGGTGAGTGTATAAGGATCATGGTTAGTCCAGTGAAATCTCTGCTTTCGGTTCTTCGCTGATTGTCTACTTCTAGGACCAATATTACACAGTAGATGGTTGTGAAGACATCAGAAAAGACGTGGAAGTCGGGGGTGAGCCGTTTATCCCCCATGTGGACAAGCTTATCAAGCGCGGCGAGCCCATTTCCGTCTACGAATACTGGCAGCTGAACAAACGCAAGTGGGAGCTACAGCAGAGATATCTTGAAAAGTGGCAGTCTATCCGATCATCCAAGACGGGTCGCACGGCTGACATCCTTCTCTTGCCACCCATGCCGCACGCGGCGGTGCCACATGGCGGGTGTCGCTGGGTTGGATACACAAAAGTGTGGAACTTTCTCGACTACCCGGCGCTAGTCATCCCCGGGGGACAGGTCTGCCAGCAGGATGTTCACGAGCCTTGGGATGTGGAAGCAAGAGGCGCCGAAGACCAGTGGAATATCAGCCTATGGACATGTCATAGGGAAGAGATGGCCGCCCTTGGTTTGCCAGTGGGGTTGCAGATCGTTGGCCGGAAGCTGGAGGAAGAGGTGGTACTCGCCGCTGGGAAGATGATAGACGATGCTTTGCGAGGGAGAAGCGGAGCCTCACAGTAGAAGATGGACCTCAATCAAGTTCCATTAACAAAGTGTATGCTATTGCTGTCTGCATACTGAAATGGCGTAATAAGGAGAATCAAATCTGATTCTATAGTAGTGGCGAGGAAATGTGATACGATATTAGACATTGGAGGCCGTGGTATGCCTCTCTTCTCCGTTAAAGTTCATTTTGATGCCTATAGCCATTAGGAATGCCAGACACGTAAGTTCATGTCTACATACTTGCATGATAGGAAGTGGATGCTCTACATGACCAAGGTACTTTTATAGTGCCGGCAGAATGCATACTTAAATGGCCTATCGGCATGACAATCCTCCTTCAGCGTAGGTTGTAAAGGAACACTACCGTTCGCTTTTCAAGAGCTCGTGCGAAACATGTACCGAAGTAGGTGTCTTAAGACAACGCTGCTGCTTGAGCCTAATGTATTGGGAAATATCTTTCGTGTCTTCAAGGTGTAGGCTCGCAGCTCTTGCACGTTGTGGAAAGTCTGGACTCTTCCCTTGTTGCTCCGTTGGTAGTGCATCAGATCGATGATGTTCACATGTGTCCGTCGTGTAGCCTACGATCAGTGTCAGGATGAACCAACCAAATTTTATTGTATAATAAACTCTTACCTTCTCGCATCCTTCACAGGTATTCGGAAGTGGCTTGATATCAATTGCGCGACAAAGCACATGCCACGCAGTCAAGTTGTCTTCTGCACCCATCCACATCTCCATTTCCTTTTTCAGCGCCTCTTGGTATTCATTCCACGGATTGGGTGACTTGTGTTGGTCATGGTGCCAGCCCATATGTCTTTCCAAGTTGGCATACGATTCGTTCGGGGGAGAGTAGGATCATAATTGAACGTAGGGTAAGAGTGGAAAAATGCGTCTAAAGGGGTTTCTATATTTTGTCGATGAGCAGGAGAGTCGCGTAGGTGTTGTTGTAAAGCCTCATTGTTGTTGAAAGACCGGTTACAGGTTTCGCATTCAAAAGACAGCGTATGAACAGGAGAGTCGCGTAGATGTTGCTGTAAAGCTTCTTCGCTACCGAAAGATCGGTTACAGGTTTCGCATTCAAACGACGGTGCATGAACAGGAGAGTTGCGTAGGTGTTGTTGTAAAGCCTCCTCGGTGCCAAAAGATCTGTTACAGGTTTTGCATTCAAACGACAGTGCGTGAACAGGAGAGTTGCGTAGGTGTTGTTGTAAAGCCTCCTCGGTGCCAAAAGATCGGTTGCAAGTTTTGCATTCAAAAGACAGTTTATGAACAGGAGAGTTGCGTAGATGCTGTTGTAAAGCCTCCTTGCTACCAAAAGACCGGTCGCAAACATTACAATGGAAGGCCATGATGCTAGACAAGTGACTTGTCATGCCAATGTGTGGATGAGACTTTTCCCCGAGAATAAGTTAAATGGAGTTAGCAGGAAGCGACAGCGTATTTAAATATGTGACTAATATAAGTAAGTCTACGCCCAAGGCCAACGGTCTAATGCAGGCGATAAGTGAGTAACACACTCATGTGTGTAGAGTGCTTGTATGAACCAACGGACGATGAACTGGACCAACCATTGTGATGCCATTACTGGCCATGCAGCATGGTGAATTCCGTCTGGTCAACCCCTTAGAAAGCGTATTGGTTACGGTAGCCCCACGCTCTCAATGCGGTCTTGAACTCCCAGGAGCTATTCACCTACTTAAGCACCGTTTGCCTGCATCCAAAACCGGTCAAAAAACCAGATATTGAATGTTTCTCATCAACACTCGTTTGCATTATAAGCGAATGACAGATGACCTCTATATAAAGGGGTTCTATCAGAGCTGGCTATTAGACAAAGTGCAACGCCACTGTGCATGCCTAAATCAACACAAGCGCGCTTTCCTGCGTCTCGCAATCCCTGATGATCACACCATGCCCAGTTTTGACCAACGACTGCAGGAGCCCGGCGGCATCGTATAGACCTAAGACGGGAGCCCAGACAACAGCGCAACAGACGCCCATTGATGTGGGGTTAATTATCTCGCCAGCGACTCATGGCACTGTAACAAACAGGCGAGTATCGTTTGATAAAACCCTCCAGCTCTGCGAGGTACTCCTCAATAGAGACAAATCGGGAGAGTACGGCGGCAAGCACAGCAGCAACTTGCCAGCACCGTCGCACATCTGCTAGATTCTGACTTAGTGATGGATCGAGGAGTATTCTATCACGATTGGCAAATTCGAATTGCGATATTGTCAAGCGAGAGATTGGTTGTTCATTGTGCCCATGAAGACTCGTCGAGCTCACATATTGGCCCCTCCGTCTTCTAGCAATAGCGGAGGTCACCTATGACATGCTTTGCATCGAACCGAAGGAAGACCGTTGTCATTTTCAGGAGGGGGACACTGGCACACCAGGATGGTCAATTGGAAGGCATGTACTCTGTTTTCTATCAACAGAACCAACCCCCTGTTTCTTGTTTCTCCACCCGCCACTTGGCAAACCGCCTTGCTGTCGCCTCTTGCGGAGAAAGCTGGGAACAAGAATGCCACGCAGCTCGGCGATAAGACGGATGCATCTCGCCTGCAAAATGGGGTTGGTTGCGAGTCGTCCACGACAGGCACAGGGCGCCTATCTACAAGCAAGTCGCAGGGTGGGTCGATAAGCTCGGGTTGTGTGGTGGACATGTGAAGGGTCGCCTCTCCTTTTCGGTCGGCGCCTATGCAGGAGCATCCTCGATTTGAGGACGGGAACTATACACGGAACAGCAAGGTCTCGGATGTCCCATCTTGGGGGTCAAACAGGCTCCTGGCACGTTGAGGACTTTCTTATATAGTGATTGGAGGCCAGATATGGATATTGCGTTCACTATAAGTAATTGGAAGAAATTTCCTTATTGCGTGGCTAGGAAGCTCTATTGCATGAAGATACAACGAACTTAACGGCTAGTCGCTGACCTCCGCGGCTCCGTCCGGCAGTGACGCCGTTTTAGGACGCTTCTGAGCCGGACCGAGCCCCTTGGACGTAGCGGGGGCCTGGGGCGGCGACAACGACGCCAAATGCGTGTATCGAGGTAGCTCGCCAGTCTATTTTCTTGACATCAAGAACCTCTAGAGATTCGATTCTTACTTGAGCACAATATCTCCTCTGGCTTTCACATACTGTCGATATGGCTTCTCTCCCATCTCCTTGCACGATTTGGTAAACAAGTGGGCAAGTGGTGTCGCTAGCGAGCGGCTGGCTGCGCTGCACTGGAGGTCACACATGAGCTGATAGCACGGTGCTCGAAAGTACTCTGCATTGCTACCGTTGGGATAGCGGATCAGGACTCACGTTGAGTTAGGCTGCGAGGATGGGCACTAACACGTAGCCCGTCGAAATACGCCAAGGCGCATGACCGGCACGGCCTGACCAGTGTCTAAGCCGCTGTTTCTGCAAGCCTGCTGGAATTTGTGGGGTGCAGAGAGGGACAGACGAGCCTGCGTTCTACTTCGCAAGCTAACAGTGTTTGACTGACCTCAGCTACCTTTGCGGTACGGTTGACTACCCCATCGGGCACGGGAAGACGCTATCTTGATTTGTTCCGGCATTAGTCCAACTGACGGGGCATGCGAAAGAATCGTTTGGGTAAGGTTGTCTTGGCAGCGAAATAGACTCGTTTCTCCGCGCCCAAGCGTCTTCCCGCACACGATGAGTGAGCCTTGAGAGGGCTTTGAACGCAGGATCTATGAAATGTTACGCTATTCCCCAGAGAAAAATTGAGCCAAAACCTCTGGAATCTTCTCGATTTCGAGCAGGAGAACCATTAAATTGCAGTCCCTCATAAGGTGGCATGCATGGTGTCAAGAAGTGGCAAAGGGGGGCTAGATGAACGCGGAAGATGGTTCTGGGAATGATGGACGGTTCATTACTGCTCTTTCTGACATCGCATGGCACGTTCAGTGAAGAGTCGAAGGGGTATGCAGTCCTGCGAGACACTCTTGAGCTTAGATGCGGGATATTTTCTGCTTCCATAGTCTTTGGTTCCTAGCTTTGGTTTGAGCCTGGGGTTGGTTGATCTTGACTATAACAGACTAGCATCTGGTCATAGAAAGAGGTTTTCGAGATATCATTTCACTTCACCCTCATGAACCATAGTGGCGGATGACCCAGCCACATCCGAATCCTAGCCTGAGGAGTAAAATTCATCTTCATCAGCAGCCTTCACAAATTACTTCCTCATTCATGGATATATTTTGTGTAAGGGAGTATACTGGTGGACCTCACTAGCCTCGACACTCGCATCAGTATCTCAACTGCCTACGACTGCGTCTTTTTCCACTCCTCGTATTTTTTCATGACCTCCTCCTTACTAGCAGGCATTAGTCCCCCTTCCGGAACCGGGTTCTTGGACTTGAAGTAGTCGCTCATCTTTCCAGAAGTTAGAATACCGCAAAAGTGCAATAAGTGAGAATTTGTAAAATACCTCTCCCATCGTTACCCACTCGACACCTTCGTGTTTGTTTATGTGCTCAATGATGCGCTCATGCATCAGGAGAACATGGGGCCGACCCGAGACATCCGGGTGGATTGTCATGGGGAAAATAAACTCGTCTGCTCTCATGGTCAAAATCCCGAACTATCCACTCTTCTTTAAACTGTTAGTATACTTACCATATTCTCTGTAAAAGTAGTCGAAATGATCCCGCCAGATATCTTCAACATCCCTGCAGCGCAATCATTGTCAGCCTCTCAGGACTGTCGTCATAGTCCAAAAAAAAAAAAGCCACTTACCTGGGATTCACCCAACCGTGCGAGTTCGCCGAGTTCTTCATAAACATCATGGGAGGAAGATCGTCAATGTACCAGGAACCAGGGATCTCGACCAATCCAGTCTCCTTCCCCTTCACCAGGGGCTTCATCCATGTCTCGGCTTTTTGCGTGTAATCGATCTTGGTCCAGGTGTCCCCGGTTCTCAACCAGTACGCCTGACAGTCATGGTGCGACATTGAGTGATCATACTCGATGCCATAGCTCAGGAGCAGCTCGGTGCCCTCTTCACTGGTCTCCCACCACGGCGCAACGCTGCCCTTAGGGGGCTTGCCGCAGAACTCGGTGAGCATCTTCCACGTCTTGTCGAGGACATCGCGCTGCTGCTCCAGAGTCATATCGACAGGGTTCTCGTGACTGTAGCCGTGCAGGCCGATTTCGTGCCCTGCATCACGCACCATGGCGCATTCTTCTGGAAATGTCTCCAGAGTATGGCCAGGAATAAACCAAGAGGCTTTGATGCTGTACTTTTCAAAAAGCTTCAGAAGGCGGCGCGTGCCGATAGTCCCAGCCCAAAGACCTTGGATCCAACCATTTATCAGCTGCCCCAGGTCGACATCACCAAAAGTCACCGGCTTCAAGAATAGTACTTACCTCGACTGATGTCGCTAGTGCTGTCCTCGCCGCCGTAAGAGCCGAGCCAGCCAGCTACGGCATCGATATCCACACCATAGCTATAACGCGAGGGGTGTTAGAGTACATCCATGTCTGAGCAATGCTTCTCCAAGGCGGCTCCATACCAGACAATCACTTTCTTCTTTCCCATTGTGCGTGATAGATGCTTGCGTCATTCAATATCGCAGATGCGAAGTGTATACGGATGTCCGAACGTTATCCCCGCGATTGAGACCTTTCTTTATGATGCAAATTCGAACCAACAACATACGGGCTAGGAAGTCGTTTGGCCCAAAAGCCTGGTACTTGGTTGAAGCCGAGTCTCAGCACTTCGAGACCTACCCCTCAGTGATGGGGGTTTTGCATAGAGACAAAGCTATGCATGTCTTATCGCATGCTTTGGTTCTTTGGTATCTTCACCTCTCAACGCCCAGTCTACGTACCACAGATAGGGGTGCGGGGAACTGGGCCTAGAATGTCTCCCGTTCTCAATGCTACGTCGCAGATGTAACTTCGAACTCATTCTAACCTGTCCTTGCATTTCCTTGCGTTGGGACTTGTTGGTCACGTCCATTCAACCCTCGTAGCACTTATCGGTTGATGGGGGGAACGGGCGGCTCCACCCCCATTCTTGGATCGACGAACGAAATGACACCCACTTCTGAACACCCACCTGGATTATGATAAGCCTTTGGCGTTCTGTGTTCTCTCCGCATACTTTTGGTACATGAATGGGACCTTGATTGCATCAGATCGTCAGCTCGTTATGGTCCTGGTTGTTTTAGACCCCTGCAATGCTTTTATCTTCCAAACAGAAGCGACTTCTCCGGGGCAGAGAGCCAACTACTGCCAAACCAGGCAGCTGGAATGGCACCCAACAATCTACGATGCACCCATCGGGACGAGATATGATGACTGGGTTATGGTTACCATGTATTAGAAGAACCGTGACCTGACAAGAGAATGGGGGAATGGAAAGGAGAGGCTATCACTGTGCATCGATGCCGCAGCGAATGGTGAAGTTTAGAACATTCCGAATGCTTTTCGATCGGCAGCAAGTAGACTTTGATTAACCTTGTCGACAAGGCGCTGAGCTCAAAACAAATCAAAAACTGCCATTCACTCATCGTGCTATCGCCGAAGTTGTTAAAAGTTTATGATCCATATCCTTCAGGAGCAATGTTACATCATACTCCTTTTTAGCTATCCTCTGTACGACAAAACAGAAACACCTCAAGTGACCCAGACATAATCAAACAACTATATCCAATAACCATTGAAACATAGCGATTCTCAGTCGTCTCAAAAACACAAGCAGAACACAACCTCCCGAGATGTCAAAAGTACGTCGAAAGGCAAGGGGGGTCAAAGGTCATGCCTGCAATAGACTCTAACACTTCCAGTTCTCTCTGACGGGTCGCGTCGCCGTTGTCACGGGTGGTGGCCGGGGTTGTGGGCTTGCTTTTGCCCAAGGTCTTGCTGAAGCAGGGGCTGATGTCGCCATCTTCGACTTGATCGACCCAGACCCCGTCGCGTTTGAACAACTCTCCGCAGCAACTGGTGTTCGAGCAAAGGCATACGTTGTGGATGTAACATCGGTTTCAAGCTTGGAGAAAGGCTTCGCCTCCGTTGCGACCGACTTCGACGGTAAGCTGGACATCTTCGTTGCTTGCGCTGGTGTGAACAAGAACGTGGAATTTCTCGACACCGAAGAGGCAGATTTTGACAGGCTCTACGGGGTCAATTGCAAGGGACTATACTTCTCCGCCAAGCTTGCTGCAAAGGCCATGATCTCGAACGGGACCAAATACGGCAGCATTATTTTCGTCGCCAGCATTGCATCTCATATTGCGATTCGCTCACAACGGTCTACTGCTTACTGCGGTACCAAAGGCGCCGTTCGAGCGATGGTGGCGCCTATCGCTGCTGAGCTGGACAAGCATGGCATCCGCGTCAACTCAATCTCTCCCGGCTACGTGAGAACCGAGATGACAGCCCCTTTTCCCGACCTTCTGGAGAGTTGGAAGGACGAAATCATGAACGGTAGAGTTGCAGAGCCAGATGATATCAAAGGTGCATGCGTCTTTCTGGCCAGCGATGCTAGCAGGTATGTTGGCCTACTTTAATTAAGCTAAATGATGAGATGCGATGACTGAGGCTTGACAGATACTGTCAGGGAAGCGACATTGTGGTTGACGGAGGTGTCACAAAATGGTAGTACCAATATGGATTCCCAAAAGAGTTACCTTAGGGTTTCTCCCAGAAATCGTGTACCTTCAGTGCTATTTAAATGAATGAGTTGCAAAAAAGCCAAGTTATACCTCTTTCTGATTGGTTCTCTGCTATCGTCCGAGGGTTGACATTAGCGAAAGTCACGTGTAATCATATTATAATGCAACCTCATGACTCACCATACCCATGCCGCCATATTCTTTGTTGAGTCGAAGGTTTCCTTTAGCTATCTTGATACAAGACACATACTCAGCATTGAGCAACCAGAGGCCTGGGTAAGCATAGACACTATGGCCGTTTTTGCCGATCTTTGGGCCATGATGGCCAATAAGGCCGTGATTTTACTTGGCATCACACCGTTGGCGGTTCTCGGTTTCTATTTCATCTCCAACATCTTTCTTCACCCTTTGCACAAGGTTCCTGGGCCATGGATAGCAACCATATCCCCGCTCTGGTTATGGTACCACTCGTATGTCGGCGACGAGACAACTTCAATTGCACGGCTGCATTCGGTTTATGGACCGGTCGTCCGGATAGCCCCAAATGATATTGATATCAGCGATGGTGCGGCCCTTACCCCTATCTACTCGGAGAAAGGTGGGTTCTTGAAAGCGCCTTGTTACGCCAACTTCGACTTTGACGGGTATCCAACCATCTTCTCCGCTCTGAGCCCAGCACATAGATCCATTCGGGCAAAGGCAGTAGTCGGCATGTTCAGTCCTGCATCGATTCGCAAAGAGGGCGATGCAATCCTCCAGTCCTGTGCAAAAAGACTTGTCGTGCACATCAAAGAACAGGCATCCAACGGAGGAACAGTCAACATGCTCACTATGGGGAGGTGCCTGGCCCTTGATGCTGTCACTGAGTATCTGCTCGGCAAATCTTACGGAGCCATTGCCGAGCTTGAGGCATACAAAACCAGTAATTCGTCCACGAAATTGTCTGCCAGCAAGTTTGTTGACACATTCGTCGCCGTTGGACGATTCTTTCTATTGCCAAAATGGATCTTTCACGGTCTCGAGTGGATCCTGCCTAAGCTTCTCCCTGACCAAGAGGTCGATCGGTCGATGGATCTGGTCACGCGCTTCTGCACCCAAGTTGTTGACGATGCCGATGCCGATCTGGAGAGGAATCAGACATACCAGGCTCGGTTACTGAGAGCTGGCATCAGTAAGGAAGAAGCCGCGTTACAGTGTATGGATCTCATGTTCGCTGGCACCGACAGCACTGGGATGAATTTCGGCACGATATGTTGGCATTTAGCACAATCGCCAAAGGCATACAAAAAGCTAAAAGACGAACTCGCGTCGCCAGCAGCTTTGCAGGCTGATCCGCAGACTCTCCCATATCTCCGAGGTGTAGTTCGCGAAGGACTGCGGCTGTCTATGGCAAACCCGACAAGGCTACCTCGCGTGGTGCCGTCGACCGGGTTTTCATTCTCGACAAAGATGCCGTCGGGTGAGGCCAGGACCTTCGAGTTTCCCGGTGGTACCTGCATCGGTTGTGCTTCATTTAGCCTACACTTCAACGAGGATGTATTTCCCGATTCAAGATCCTTCAAACCCGAACGGTGGCTTGATTCAACCGAAACGATGCTGCGTGACTACATTCCCTTTGGTCTTGGACCAAGGCAATGCATTGCTCGCAACCTTGCGTCCAGTGAGCTGTTCTGGGCCGTAAGGGAATTGGCTGTTTCGGGAGTTATTGATGGTGCTCAGACAACAGGACGCATGAAGGAAGGCATTATTATTGATGAATGGTTCAATTCTAAGGTTCCGGGCCACGCAATCGAGTTGACTTGGAGGCAATAGAAATTTTGGTTTGATTTCAAACGGAACATGGTAGGATTATTCGATGCGGAATCATTTAGGTTACGATTCTGCTTGTAGCAAACCAAACTTGGTGGAAACACGATCGCAGGGTTCCATCTCTCTCATGTGATCTTCACCTTGAGTTGAAACGATCCAAGTTGTCGGTTCAATATGTCCCTAACAATCATATAGTGCTTACGCATTGGTAATGTGTAGGCTGAGTGTATGTCTCCCCACTACTAGAAAAGTTCCGACGCCGTTTATCCGAACGAAACCTCATGTCTAGGCCTAACATGTATCAGTAACCGGATAAAATGGTGACGCCGATGTGGAGTAACCATCCATAAAACTGAGTCAAATCGACAATTTTTGGTCAGAACTGACGGCATCGTCGTGGCAGCAGGGCTTGTAGATGTGCAAGCTGAGTCTGTTCTTATGTAGTTCTCAGTTTTCTGTGCATTGTCAGGGTTTAACTTTTGGCAGCAGAAACCAGTTCCAAGAAGTGGTCCGCTTCATTGACGAAAAGAGGGTCATGACAGCTATTGATGGTGTGGCATTTGAGCTTTCTGAGGCTAAGGATGCCTACGCACGGCTGAAAGCAAGAAGGACTTTTCCAAAATTGTCATCAACATAGAGTCCTGGATCAACCCGAGGCTAAAGCTTCAAGTAAAGCTTCATTTACCTTCATTGATATCATTGTTCGGCCTATATTACTACCTGTTGCGAAAGGTGTACTCCACATACCTACCTACTCTATTATAGTCCTTTCCTTGTATTCATGCACCGGGGACCCTGCTTAGGATGATTTCGAAAAATCTGTCTGTGTTCATGAAATTTCTTGGCCTATGATTCACCTAAACGAAAAATCTCCATCTCGGATCCTTTTCGCCCTCGCTCAGGTCCCGTGTCTCGACATCCTCCGCTCTTAGGGAAATCCGCTGGTCCTTGTTCTTTCTGCTATTTTCTACACGCATCCAAATTCCCAGCCAAAGCGTAAAGAGTATACAAGTAACATTGCAACTAGCTGTCGCAATGAGTGTTGGAGCATATCGTGGGGCGTATGTTGTCCGAAAAGTTCCCGCTGAGAGAATGCCGCCTAGGTTGCCAAGACCCACAAGCAAACCAGTGGTTGCGGCCCGCGAATTCTCGCTCAGATTATTGTTGTTATGCCAGCTGTGAACAAGGCAGCTCGGGATATACGCGCCGGCGGTGAGCAGGAAGGTCGCGAAGTACGCGACTCCAACGTGAGCACGCGCATCGATGACGGCCAGCACAACAAGGCCTATGAGGCTTATTGTCAAGCTACCGATGATGTGAAAGGTACGTTCCCGGTTCTTGTCAGAGCTGTACGTGACAGCAAGCAGAACCAAGAAGCCAGTAACGTTTGGAGGAACCGTGAGTAAGTTTGTCGTTACTTTATCGTAGCCTAACCGACCAATGACAAGAGGAAGGAAGTTTGCTGTTGTAGCGAATGCCACAGGATAGGTAAAACTGATAATGCACCAGATGGGGAACTTCCAGTCTTTCCAGGTTTGAAAGCATTGTTTGAGACTAAACTCTTCTCCAAGGTTGCGAGTGCCATCTCGGAGGGATCGGGGAGAAGCCACTTCCCGCTCGGCTTGGGTTAGGAACCATGCACTTTGGGAATTTGCAGGTAGCCACCAAAAGGCAATGACACCAAAAATAACTGTTAAACCTCCTGTGCTATATTATTAGTCATTCTCTCCCAATTGATGTATATGGTCGGGCTCATACCTTCAAGGAGAAAAAGCCACATCCACCCTTGAACGTGAGGATGTTGAATCCGAAACACTCCGAACGAGATTAGACCGGAAAAGGCACTAGCTAACAACGCGCTGCCAAAGAATAAAGCGATCCGAAAGCCAAGCTCCCCTCGCGTGTAGAATAAGGTCAAATAGAAGACAGCTCCGGCAAAGAAACCAGCCTCAAGTGCCCTGATGGACGTACAGTATGAGTATTGGCATAAATAGCGGAGGAAGATTAAACTTACCCAAGGATCAAACGAATAGCCAGCATGCCGCCGAAGTTCTTGCAAGCCGCTTGCAGGAGTGCCATAGCACCCCATCCTACCATGAGTCCCGGCAAGACAATGCGACCGGAGTAACGCTTAGTTAAAAGGTTCAGCGGTAAGTCACAAAGTCCATTTGGAATATAGAAGAGCAGTATAAGTAGAGAGTATTGTTCTCCGACGAATCCCAAATCCTTGCTCATGCCGTCTGTTTCGGCATTTCCAAGGTTACTCTAGTCACAATATTAGCGAGAAAATCAAATTCGGTTGCTATATAACATTTACTCTGTCGACTGCGTTGAAAAAATACACTGTGTATGTCAGCATGAATTTTCTCTTTATATCAAACTCGAGATTTCTATTACTTAACGAGAGAAAGGGCAGAAGCCACATGTCCATCTTTCGAACTAAGTAGAATCAATGTCAGAGATATTCAATAGAGACAAAGCATTGTATTCACTTCTCCAAACTTACCATAAGCCTTTTCTGTGGCATCATTAATCATAATCTGATTTCCAGACTCTTGGTCATCAACTGTACGCCCGTCAGAAGGCTTCGACCCCATTGTTTCAGATTTCTCCATATTCAAAGCGGTGAGCTGCATCGAACTGATAAATATGTAACGCTGATCGGTGTATCTTAGACGACCTAGTACTCTGTATGATTGAGTACACATTAAGCTAGGTTATATCAAATTCAGGAGCAGTATCAATACACACAACTGTCACTCTGGAGGTAGCCACCCAGCCACATTGTCTTGTCCCCCTTCAGCCAGTCACAACTTGTAGGTCGGCATTCAACATCAGGTAGCCGATAAGAATGACGCAACATTGATAGCCTATGCCGACAGGGGTCTCATTCACATTGCACTAATCATAATGCCTCCGGAACTAACGCAGGCAGTGTGACGATGCAATCTAAGACAACTAGTATCAAGAGTGGGGGAAACGCTATCACATCACACAGTATCAGGGTGGGCAACGTTAAATCGGAGTAGGCCGAAGCCCCCCAATCTCTCATTGGCGATCACTTTGCACTTCAGCCAGAATCGTATAATTGAAATAATGATTGTTATGGAATCCGAGCCAACGTGATCACAAATCCGTAACGCAACTCTTACGCGACAGCGATCTGTGCCGACGGAATTTCTGTCTTCTGAGCCTGCAATTTGTTCGTCGTG